TGTGTGTGTGTGTGTGTGTGTGTGTGTGTGTGAGAGAGAGAGAGAGAGAGAGAGAGAAGGGGGCATCTATGTGTTACATTTATATCCCAACTTTCTGTAAAAAATGGCACTCAAAGCAACTACCAATAATTAAATGAAAACAGATGCAGTGATTGCCAGCACTGGGACACAGTAATTAAAAATTGCCTTCTCAAAGGCTTCTTTCAGGGAATAATGCTAAGTGGGTGGATTCTAGTATCTTCTGTATACAGAATGAGCCCTTCCATTCACCAAAGGGATTGTCCTGGTCCCATCTATTGTCTTGAGCAAAGATGGCAGAACTGTCTTTTTCTTGGACTAAAATTCCCAGAATCCCCAGGCTGATGGTCAATTTTTCTGACCTGTGGTTTCGAGAAAGAATGCACAAATTCTGAGAAATAAATGAAAACGTGCAATGGTTGCAGAACAAGCAACAGATACTGGTGCCAAAAAACTTCAGTTCGCTCTGTTTTCTACTGGGTAAGTAAGTTTTGAATTGTGGTGCTGGAGGAGGCTCTTGAGAGTCCCCTGGACTACAAGGAGAACAAACCTCTTTATTATAAAGGAAATCAACCCTGAGTGCTCACTGGAAGGACAGATCCTGATGCTGAGGCTCCAATACTTTGGCATCTCATGAGAAGAGAAGACTCCCTGGAAAAGACCCTGATGTTAAGAAAGTGCGAAGGAAAGAGGAGAAGGGGACAACAGACGATGAGATGGATGGACAGTGTCATCGAAGCTACCAGCAGAATGAATTTGACCCAACTCCGAGAGGCAGTTGGAAGACAGGAGGGCCTGGTTTGCTCTGGTCCATGGGGTCACAAAGAGTTGGACATGACTAAACGACTAAACAACAACAAGTATATAGGAATAGAAAACAACTTTGCTCTCTATTGCCTTCAGCAGCAAAATGTCTTAAGCTGGGCTTGCAGTTCCTTAGTTACTACCGCGTTTCCCCGAAAACAAGACAGGGTCTTATATTAATTTTTGCTCCAAAAAACGCATTAGGACTTATTTTCAGGGAATGTTTTATTTCACAGTCATGTTATCTTCTGGTTGCTGTACAAACCAGAAGATGACATGACTGCAGGGCGGGGTTTCACGTAACTGGGGCTTATTTTTGGGGTAGGGCTTATATTTCGAGCATTCTAAAAAAATCATACTAGGGCTTATTTTCAGGTGATGTCCTATTTTTGGGGAAACAGGGTAATGTCTGAGCCACTATTTTACAGAATTAGAATTAAAAATGAAGCAGGTCCCTAAAAATCTGAAGTCTTCCTTTCACTGATAGAGAAACATTATTTGCTGCCATTTGCTGTTCTTTGAGGTATTGATCCTAATATAAAGAATTTCCTTTTCTTCTATGTTTCTTCTGTATTTAAGATATTTAAATGTGTACAAGAAATACAGTGATCTCCTAAATAACAATGCAGAACAAGATGTGACAGATTTTTTAAGCCAAAAACACGATCTGGATGATTTTGTGCTGGTAAGCATATTGCATGACTGAAAGTAATGTTTGTGGAGAAATTACAAATATTGGAAAGGACTAACTTGTCTATGCTGGAGAACATCATGTCTGCTAAGAGGCACAGTGTACTTCTGGAAAAACACTTGAAGCTATACAGTGGTGCCTCGCTTAATGGGCGCTCCGTTTAGCGACGAAACCGCATACCGACGAAGTTTTTGTGATCGCTTTTGCGATTGCTTTCCTATGTTCCATATGGGGAAAAATTACTTTGTGATGATCGGTACCCTGTTTCGCTTACCGATCATCCCAAAGCGATGATTTTTTAACAGCTCATCGGCGGTTCCAAAATGGCCACTGGGTAAACAAAATGGCCGCCCACTTTGTTGCCTCACTTTAGAGGCACCGAAAATGGCTGCCGCAATGGAGGATTTTCGCTTAAGGTTAGTTTTCAAGCCCATAGGAACCCATTAAACAGGTTTTAATGTGTTTCTATGGGCTTTTTAAGATTGCTTAGCGATGTTTTCAGTTAGCAGCAATTTTTGCTGCACGGATTAACATCACTAAGTGAGGCACCACTGTATAAGCAGTGCAGAAAATTATGCCCACAGACATAGGCAGCTTGTGTGGGGATACTCCCACAAATGTGGAGCTATTCCATGAACACCTGTTCCATGAGCTACGTATTGGAAGGTTTTTCACTCTAGTAAGATTATCAGGCCTTTTCCCACAGTCTGATCATGTCTCCTAGAGACCCGAACAAGGTGACATCTCATCTCAGATGTAGTGAGGAAGCTGTGACCGATGCAGATTTATCCCAACACTCATGGCATTGCTAACGGTTAAGTACTGTACGAGATGAGTTGTGGTCTACCAGTTGGCTGAGGACTGCAGGTTGCCCATACCTGATGCAAGAGACTTCTCTGGGTTACTGCAATACAACCATAGAGAAAGTTGTTGGATTACAGTTTCCAGCATTCCTGTCCACTGGCTATACAAACTTGGGCTACTGGGAGTTGCAGTCAAAGAACATCCAAAGAGCAGCTCTCTGTGCTTTGGAGCCTTGTAGCACAGTTAAACCGTAGTATTGCATCCAAAACTCTGCTCACAACCTGGGTTCTATCCTGGCTCAAGGTTCGCTCAGCCTTCCATCTATTGGAGGTTAGTACCTTGAGTACCCACCCAGCTTGCTGGGAGCCAGGGCAATGTGTCGCCTGCGTAATTAACTTGTAAACTACCCAGAGAGTGCTTTAAGGGCTATGGGTGATATATAAGCAACATGCTTTTCCCACTTTATTTTTTACCCACCCCTACTTTAATAGAAGAATAAGAATGACCTTTATTTCAGAATATAAACCTTGCATATAGAGACTTTGTTCTTTATTTTTACATTTTCTTGATCTGAGAGCCTTAGATCTGTTGGAAGGTAGGCATGTTTTTATGTTTGAATTAAAATGCTTCATAGGTTGGAGCCTGAGAAGTGCACAGAATTAATAGACTTTCAGACTTTCACACTGCGATTTTCAGTACCTGATCAGTCCACCTTTTCTTTTTGTGCTTCTCCTTTTATGTTGTACTTTAATTGAACACCATCAAAAACTTCACCAGACTTTGGTGTCTTTATATAAGGTTTTGTGGTTTGGAGAAATTGTGAGGCCTAAGACATTTTGATTCTGGACTGGTACTGCAGAAAAACCTGTAATTGATTTTTTCTGCCATACTGAGACAGGAAGCCAGAGATCCTGGAAAGGTGAGAATGTACGGCTAGAATATCCTACAAGATCATGGCTGACCTCCCTTCTCAACCACTCAGGACAACTATGTTTAGGCTTCAGATATTTATAGGCTCTTCTCCTTTGCAACCTTCGTGAAGACAAATGTCAATCTTATTTATAATAAATACCCTAAAATCATTATATTTTATTGTGATTGCTAGTTGATAGTGGTGGATGCTCATGGCCACTTTATCTTTATGCAGAAGATTGATGGTCTGACAAAACTGAAAAAGGAAATTGCCTCAATGCATGTCACAGTCCCGCTGGCCATGTTCTGCCTTGATGCGTCAAAGTTGAATGAAGAACTTTGCAGCCGGACGCAAAGGCTGAAAGACAGGCTGATTGAGTTTACAGTAGAGGAGAACAGGGAGGTAAACCAGAGGTACGTTTAAATGAGTTCATAACTTTAACTGGAGGTGAATGGAGTTGTCGTGGTTCCTCTGTCAAGCCTCTCTCCTTGCACTCACTCGGCCACACTAATCTTGCTCATTCTAGGGTGGGAGTGGCCAGAGAGAGTCAGATGTGGTGTTGATTGGACATTTGACTGGGACCATATTACTGCCGATATGTGCCTAGACCCCCCAGACTTTGGGGTGCTCTGGCAAGTTTTGGTTATATTCAGTTGCCTTTGTGCAGATTATATATTTATTTTGATAGGCATGTCGAACATTTCTTTCACACTGAAAAATGGGCTGTGCAAATATTCCGAACAAGCGTTGTCCTGGTTCTGAGGCCGGATTCTGAGAGTTTAAATTTAACAGCATTTGTGTCAATCTGTAAGAGTTTTCCAATGGGAAATGAACCCGCATTACTTTTGTTTTATGTAGACAAGATTGTCCTGGCAGGTTCTTAATGATTCAAATGTCTGTCCTGTAAGAACGTATTTTTTCACCTGCATGCAGGAAGATTTTAGCCCAGCTGTGTCTGACTTGTGGTTACATTCAATCTTTGGTATTACGGTTTCAAGTACTGTATATAAATGGAAGAGACCAGGATCTCTCGGGTTTCATGTCCTTATACATAACATCTATGAAGGTTTTCCAATTTTATGTATCTAGAGTTTTAGGGGAAACTTTCCTCTCCTATTGATCTTGCTACCTATATTTTGTTGACTTTTTGGGACTGTGAATGAAAAGACTTCTCTCATTTAAAGTTTCAATTCCCTTGAATCTCACCAGGAAAGGCTGGTAAGGGGTTGTCTTAATATAGAGATGGTAGAAATCCATGTTTAGCCCTGGCTTGAGTTTTCTTCAAATTGCTGTATGTTGTGATGATGCTAGATCTGGGTCCTGGCTTGCCTTGCCCGAGGTGGAAAGAGAGATTGATTCTTCTTCGTTGTGTGCGTGAATGCACACAAATGGGTTTTACTGTGCCTGTGCAGGACTCCTCGGAATCTTCTAGAGCGTAAAAACATGTGATTAGTAAGATGTTCCCCTGTGGTGCGCGTGCTCCACCCTCCTGTAATACGTCAGTTCCTTTTAGTTGCCACTTAAATTGGACTTCTTTGGCAATCTCTAGAGCGAACCTAAATTGGACTTATTTGGCAATCTCTAGAGTGAACCTCTTGCTGTTATGGTTTTTTGGACTTTTGGCTTGTCTCACGGTTTATATTTGGATTTCGGACTTGATCTGTACTTCTGTTTCGGATGTTTCGCTGTGAGTTTTGATGCAGGCACTTAAAACTGTGAGGGCCAAGTCATTCATTAAGATAACTTGTCATTTTATCTGAAATCACACTAGTGTTCCACAAACTTAATTCCAACAGTTGTTTCTGTTTCAGAAATCATACTGGTGAATGAATCCCGCATGTATGTCCAGAAAACAAAGCAAACTAATTTAAACTGCAGGAGCTATGAAAAGTTCCAGCTGTGACAATTAGACCTTTTCAGCTCTAATTTAGTTCCCTGTTCTAAATATGGGCTGTCTGTAGTGTGTAGTTTAATCCTAGCGCTCAAACTAGTTGACATAGTGCATAGTGCTCTTTTAAGAGGTAAAAGACATTACTTAACCTGGCACAAGCATGCGTCACCTCCACATCTTGCAGATTTAGTTTGCTTTCATTTTGTAATTAGGCACTAGGAGGTTATCATGGATTTAATTTGAGAGTCTGATTGCTCAAACATGGAGCTTTGAAGGAACAGTGTGTCTGGAGGGAAACCACTAGAAGAGCAGGAAATATGTGTTTCCTTTAATATTAGAATTTTACTTATAATGTTGCTGCTGCAGAGATCTGGACTGGGGCCAACTGCAGGTTTAAGTTGCCTAGAGAAAGTTGAGAATTGCTAGGGGAAGTTCGGGATTTCTAGCACCACACCATTGGTGAAAACTGGCAGTATTTAAATGGGGCCATGTTCTGATTTTCAGGAATGCTTACTGCCGGAACTAGTTGGCTGAGAGATAAAAGATGATTTAGAGCAGTGGTCCCCAACCTTGGCCTCCAGATGTTCTTGGACTAGAAATCCTGGCCAGCAGAGGTGATGGTGAAGGTTTCTGGGAGTTGTAGTCCTAGAACATCTGGAGGTCCAAGGTTGCGGACCACTGATTTAGAGGAGGAGGGAGAGCAAGACAGTGACCTACCAGAGCATCCCTAAGAATCCTGAACAGATTAGACAGGACAACTCTCTCACAAAAGTTCACTCTTCTCTCCTTAGAGAGAGGAAGACAATAGACATACAGATGCAATGCAATGCAATATATAGTAAGAGTGTTTTCAGGAAAAAAAAATTTCATTCCTTGTAATAGCTGTGTAATTTACACATCCCCTTTCTTTTTCTGTCCATAGCATCTGCAATCAATACAACATAATTGCAGACAAAGTCAGTGAAGTGCCTTTGACCACAGAGGAGCTTGTGGAGCTCACAGCCTATCTGAAAAAATCCAGCGATGTGACTGTTTTCAAGCTCCGCCGGGAAATTAGAGAGGCTATCTACAGGCTAGAGTTCCTGATGGACTATGCTGATCTCCCCTGTATGTTTTGAAATGAAGAAACAAACGAGAAATGCAGCGCTAGGGCTAGACTAAGAATCTGGGATGGGGACTGGCATTCAGACCGTCACCAGGGAAAGGAATTATATGAGTCACCAAAAGTGTGTGTGTGGGGGGGTAATCTTGTGACAATTGAGATACCAATTCCACCTCCCTGCTGTCTTGCTCCAGCTTGGGTTGGCGGAGTGTATGGGTGAGAATGCATTGCTTCTCTGCCTTTTGCCTGATAGATTCCTGCTTTTTCATTTTTCTTATTGACAGCAATGAGAGGAGAGTGCCTGTGTCAGCCTGGACTTGGCTTCAGACAAGGAAAAAATGTGTCTTTTTTTGGGGGGGGGGGTCATCTCCCAGAAGGGCCATCCTCCTTCTCATTCCCACCCAGTCATATATTGTTCCAGGTATTTGCTGATTGCAACTCCCCTCATCATTCACTATTGATTCTCCTGGCTGCAACTGATGGGAGTTGGAGTCTGGTAATATTTGGAGGGCTACATTTTGCTTATCCCTGTTCTAGATCCAGTGCACACCATTTGACAGAACAAGAGTGTGGGGTGACTGTTACTGTACCTGTGTCTTCATCTCTGTGTTCTTTACTTGCTCATAGAGGGCAGTTAAGCAAACAGTAACAAGGAATAGAATCAGCAGGAATGTGATATATTTCTGGCACCTAAGCATCTATAAGTACCAAATGTCTGCCTACCACTTTAAACTTAATGTAGTATTGCTATCAGCTCTTTTAAATTTAACTGAGAAACACTATTATGTTTGTTTGTTTTTTAACAAAATGATTTGTCATTTCTTTAAACAAAATGTTTTCACCGTGATGTTTTGGGATAGGTACGTTAAAACAAGCTTCATGTTGACTTATCCATGTCATGCCAATCTAATCTTGCTTTGTATAAAACCCAGAAGAAACATATTTTCTTTTCAGCTGCTTAAACAAGGCCATTATTATATCCAATTGTATTATAAACACCTTATTTTGAAACAAAATTTATTTCATATGTTTCTGAGCAGTTTTCAAGACTGCAATTTTCCCAAGAGGGCTTACAATGTCAAAGATGAAGTATAAAACCATCTTAAACAATTTTAAGGGACGTGGTGGCGCTGTGGAGGGACGTGGTGGTGCTTTGGGCTAAACCACAGAAGCCTGTGCTACAGGGTCAGAAGACCAGCAGTCATAAGATCGAATCCATGCAACGGAGTGAGCGCCCATCGCTTTGTCCCAGCTCCTGGCCAACCTAGCAGTTAGAAAGCATGTAAATGCGAGTAGATAAATAGGTACCATCTTGGTGGGAAGGTAAAACGGCATTCCCTAGTCATGCTGGCCATGTGACAACAGAAACTGTCGTCAGACAGGCGCTGGCTCTATGGCTTGAGAAGCGGAATGAGCGCTGCACCCTAGAGTCGGACACGACTGGACTAAAAATGTCAAGGGGAACCTTTACCTTTTACCTTTAAACAATTTTAAAATAAGCTAGTTAAAATACAATTAAAAAATCTCCATACAGATATGTAGCAGCACATTCCATCAAACTTTTTGTATTAATAGCCAGAGAGAAAAGCAGCCTATGAAGGAATATAACTTACATATCTTATAAATATCATTTCTGTAAGATGCTCTGGGTAGTTTAGTTTTATGTTATTACAGTCCATGACCAGCAAAAGACATTAAACGTAATACAAGTTACATTTATAAGGCAGTCTCAATGCTAAAACAGAGGAAAACACAGTTAAAGGAAAGTTATAGCTTAAAATCATTATCCATTAACTCTTTATGTATCCTGCATCCAGCTGTGAGAAATTTTGCACAGCCTAGTGTCATTTTGGGATTCAGGACAGCCCAGAAACCAGTTCAACAAAGCGCAAATAAGCTTAGTACGTGGGCATGAGAGAAATGTGAGAGACAAATAGGTAATCCTGGATCCAGTCCAGAGGGGCTTAGTACTGTGTGATAGATATAGTACAGGTTATTTTCAAGATCAAGTAGTACAATCTTTTGTATACTGCCCTAAGTTGCCTGGAGGACAAGCTAGAGACTAATCTTATTATCTTTCTGTCATTTTCTTCTCTTAAAAATGGTTTCTGAACAGCAAACTCATTTTCCCTTTGTAGATGATGATATAAAACTTAATAGTACCGTTCTGCATTGGCCAGATGAGATTGAAATCATCTTTGAAACCAGCAGGAATCAGCTGATGAACCGAAGAGATCATGTAGAACTTGCTTTAATTAAAAGGTTTGGGCTTTTATATAAATGCTTCTTTTACATTGATACTTGTAAAAACATACATATTTTAGGACAAAATGTGTGTTTTAGGATGAAACATATACTGTATTGCATATTTTCTGGGGTATTTTCTGGGCAAATGGAAATTCCATGATATTAAGGAAGAACAGTAGAATTCACATTAAATACATGCCTTCTATTGTAAGAACACAAAAATAGTACCAACCTCATATAAACAAAAGATGTTTCTGAACATATGCAGAGGAAATGCTGTAGCCCACGCACCCACCCCTTTCATCATTGCTTTGCTCACATAAAAAGCAGTGGATTTGAAGAGGAAAGGCCTTCTACTTTCAGAGGCCCTCCACACTAGCCACAACCCTAATATTCCTGCATGATGCGTTGAGTGGAGATCCGTCACGGACAGAAAAGACTCTTCTTTTCAGACATCACTTTTCAAGAACCAAAGGGGTTAGTGAATCTTATTTTAAAACATCCAGAATAAGCCTTTGAATTGAAATCAGTAGGACTTAACACTAGCCACAACCCTAATATTCCTGCATGATGCGTTGAGTGGAGATCCGTCACGGACAGAAAAGACTCTTCTTTTCAGACATCACTTTTCAAGAACCAAAGGGGTTAGTGAATCTTATTTTAAAACATCCAGAATAAGCCTTTGAATTGAAATCAGTAGGACTTAATCTCTTTGATTTCAATGAGTTTGTTCTGAATACGATTTAACATGGATATAGTCCATAGGCCTGTTAGTTACATCACCAGCATAAATTCCATCAGTGTAAATCTCAGCACAAATTCAGAAGTCAGCCTAGGCATTTCTGATGTACCACATTTTTCAGGCAAGGAAACATGGTATTCAACAGTACATGCCTCTGCTGACTTTTTAACTTCTTGTACTTCCAGCTGTTTGAATTATACTGGCATAATTTTTCAGTTAGATTCTGGCTATTGTGTTTATGCAGACATTGCAACAGAAGCAATGTGTGTCTTATAGGTGATTAACAAGCAATGCATGGAGTAGAGAAAGTAGATGGGGCAGCAGTCATTTATCTTTTTCTGGCTAAGTTAAATTAAGTAAAAGGTCCTTTATTTCATTAAGAAATGACATGTCACATACTGTCACAACAGTATCATTCCTCAGTTCATTTTCTGAAATTTTTGTTTACTTCAATTGAGATAGAAACTTTAAAGATGACAGTAAACTTTGCTTTACTTTGATTCTAACCAGATGCTCAGAATTTGAAGCTGTCCTTGAAGGTTATAACAAAGAAGTTGAAAGTTTTCGAAAGAAGGATGTTATGACCATGGAAGAAATGAAGAACAATGTTGAAAAATTTAATGAGTTGTCCAAGAATTTGGACTTCGCCCTTGCTGAATACGAAGTCAGTATTCATACACTTCCCTTTGCAAATGTTGATTTAATGTTGTTGTTCATTGTGTAGTGCCCAACTCTGTAAGTTTATATGGAAATAAATAGAGACAAGCAAGGTGGGGGAAATGGTTTGTTGTTGTTGTTTAGTCGTTAAGTCGTGTCCGACTCTTCGTGACCCCATGGACCAGAGCACGCCAGGCCCTCTTGTCCTCCACTGCCTCCTGGAGCTGGGTCAAATTCATGTTGGTAGCTTTGATGACAATGGTAAAGACATATAAAGCAATGCATGGAGTAGAGAAAGTAGATGGGGAGGCAGTCGTCTATCTTTTTCATAAAACTAGAAGTTGTCACTCCAGTGGCATGGTGATATACTATAAGCTACTGTGGTATAGCATGAGCATATGTGTTGTCAGACTACTTTTGATGTTTGATTGGGACTTGGGAGATCCCACAGGGCCATAAAAGTCACAGGATGATCTTGAGCCAGTCACTCTCAGCATGGTCTGTCTCCATAAGGTTGTTCTGAGGGTGAAGTGGGAGAATATGTACCTAATGAAAGAGAAGTGGCATTTAGGCATAACCAATTAATGGTCAAAATCCTATTGCAACATACAATGTACATAAGGGGATTGTGCAAGCAATTTCTGTTATTTTCCTACCATATGTTTTCCCTGAGCAAGCCCAGGTATACAGCTGGATGTGCACATGGCATGTCCAAGCATGTGATTGCCAGGCAACCCAATTGCACACACCATTTCTGATTTCTGATTTGTACTGTGCAAAACCAACAGGATTCTGACCAATAATTAACCCATAGTCATTGTTCATTTGGAAAAAAAACATTGTCTAAAACCTTGAGATCATCATCTCCATGGGAGAAGTGGAGTACATTGTCATTGTTTTCTATTTGCTCTTTATTTAGGACACCAGAGATACATTTTCCTGCAATTTTGTTTCTTGTCTGAAGATATTAGAGAAAATATGTATGCTTTTGGTTGATCGTAAAAAAACATGTTGCCTATCAGGTTTCATGATTAGTAATGGTTGTTTTTAAAACTGAAGAGAATTATGAATAATTATGTTTGTCTTCGGTTAAAATGACCCACCCACTGATGGTTTGGTTCTTCTTTCCTCTTTCAGTTTGGCAATGATATTTGACCTTAAACAGATAAAGACCGATTCATAGAATCTAGGCCATGCAGTAACAACGGCAATAAAGAGTCTTGTTGTTCCTCAAAGACTAGCAGATTTTTACATGATGTAAGCATTTGTAGATGAGAGCCTACTTAATCTCATGCAACTGATTCATCATGCATCTGAAAAAAATGGGCTGCAGTCTCTTAAACATTATGCTGAATAAAATTTGATAGTCTGTAGGGGCCATGAATCTGTCCTTTTTAGCTTCAACAGGCTAATATACCTGCCTGTCCCTCATTATCCAGTGAAGCTCATGCTTAGCTATCTCTAGGTAGAGATGTTAACTGTGAACAGAATGCGTAACGTTGAAGAGCACCTCCCTTCCCCTCCTCCTAATTTCATCTTCTTGCTAAAGTTGTACCAGTCATACTTGACAACAGAAGCAATGTGTGTCTTATAGGCGATTAACAAGGAAGAGGAACTACTTGAACGGGAAAAAAGCCAGTTCCCTCTACTTCAGACCATCATCACACACAAACAACCCTTTGAGCAGCTTTGGGTAACAGCTTATAATTTCCACGTCAAATCCGAAGAATGGATGAACGGTGAGAATTTATTCACGGCACTTGATAAATTGCTTAAAAAGAAGTTTTGCTTTCTTTTTAAGTTAATATTCCTGAACATAGAGGTAAAAATATAATGTGGATCGTCTTATTAGGAAGCAGAAACATCAGTGTCCTCCATGCAGAGTGCCCGGCAAGCTGAGAGATATAAATAGTTGGAGCAGTGTCTGTGATGAAGCATAGTCCAAATCGAGGCCAGGGCAGTACACGAGAAAGATGTTACCGAGAGTTCTGGGAACAGATGAAGCAACAGTCAACGTTCAAGCTCAAGTCCTTCTATAAATCAAAGCCATACCAATAAATTGAACAATCCAGAGAGCACCTAGAAGAGAAGTCATTAGGTTGCCTGGTTCAGGTCGTCAGGAGAGCTTTCAAGTAAAGGCACAAGGGGCGAAGAGAGTCAGGAGCAGGAAACAAGAGAAGTCAAGTTGGAAAGTTGTTCTCATCAACTGTGCTGGGATTTGAACACTCTATTTATCCCACTGTAGCTAACTCTGGAGCTGAGACATCCTGTGTCAGAACACGCCTGTCTCAAATATGTCTGGCTGTCCTGTACTCTGAGATGCTACAGTTCTCTGCAACTTGAGGGTTATTCCTCGTTGGAGGCTCCCTCGTCATCTGGGTGGGATGGAAAGGCCAGACCCTGGCTCTGCTTCCTGTGTCTCTAGGGAAGGCCTGCCTGCTGGGGCATCCATCTCTTCTTTTACCCTTGATTTTTTTTTTCTGCTGCGACATGCCGCCCTGCCTGCCATACTCCAAGAAAGAGTCTGCTATGTATGACGAGCAGGACCCATGTGGTGCGGCAGAATGTTGGACAGGGACTTGAAAGATCCAGGTTCCATAAACCCCACAAAATGACCTTGAGCCAGTCACCATCTCTCAGCCTGATCTTCACAGGGTAGTTACGAGGATAAAGTGAGAGAAAGAAAAACATATTGGCCAACCTGAGTTCTCTAGAGATAAGGCAGATATAAAGGTAACAGGCAAACAAGTAAGTAGGTTTGTAAATCCCAATGCATTTTGGAAAATGTCATTTATGAAAGGATACTGACTTCATTCTCAAAGGCAATTTTCAGAAATTGTCTCCATGCTGAAATGATCTTTTCCATGTTGAAATGCAACATTTTTCCTTATGGTGGAGACAATTCTAGAGACAAAGCCTTTCTGAGTGTTCAGTGTTCTTCCATGGCTAGTCCTTATGTACCTAATTCAATATCACATTTGATTTTTACAGGGCACATTTTTCAGAAACCTTTTAAAAAGGTTGAATTTTTTTTTTATAAAGGTTCTTTATCTTTTCCAATTCTGTACTCAGGACCTCTTCTACAAATGAATGCTGAAGAAATCAGTGAAGAAGTCGCAAACATGTGGAGGACTATGTACAAACTAACTAAGACTTTTGTGGATCTTCCTGGGCCAAAGCGTTTAGCGGAGAATGTGAAATTTAAAATTGACAAGTTTAAGCAGCACCTTCCTGTCCTCTCTATTGCATGCAATCGTGGAATGAAAGACCGACACTGGGAGCAGGTGCTGTATAATGTCAGATATCTGATGAATAAGGATATTTTAAGTGAATTTCTTTCCTCTTTTTAAAGAAAGAGTTATGCACATAACTTATAGGTTGCACTAAATATTACCCTGTTCTCACCAGGTTGTAGCTCTTTCCCCTTTTACCTGATTTACAAAGGCTCTTAGCATTTATTGACACATGGCTCACTGAATTTCTGATAAACTTCTGCATGAGCTGTATATTGCAGTGTTCCCAACCATTGAATTACATTAGACTACCTATTATCTCTTACCACTGGCCATCATTCATTCATTCATTAGGCATCCTTGAGTCTCAAAAGACTGGTAACTTGCTGTGTATGGAGGACTTGGAACAGCTTCTAGTGTGGCTGAGAAGGCCAATTCGAGAGTGACAATCCCTTCTACACTGAAGACAAATCCAATCTGTCCTCTGTCCAGCTCCCTGATTTTGCTGCTTCCGTAACTGCCTCTTTGCCTCAGCCTGCTGGACAAGGGTCCCTTCAAATTGGGAGAGGTTGTGATGCACTGCCTGCCTCCAGGATGAATGCTCAGATGTCAGGGTTTCCCATCTGTTGAGATCCATTCCTAAGGCATTCAGATCCCGCTTGCAGATGTCCATTGGCCATACTGACAGCTGAAATCCAGATAGACCTAGAAATGTTAGGAGAAATATCTAGAAATCCAGAAACATTTAGAAACTCAAGCAGGGTCTTGAGATATACAGGTTGCCTCATTTCTTATAGAGCAAATCGATATCCACAAATCCTTATGCAAGCCGATGAGCTTCCTCCTCCAGAAAGAAGGAAGTTCTGCAGATGGTGGAGTTGTGCAATCCAGAGCTGGCAATGTAATTAGACAAAGTAAGGTGACTGGTTTAGGTAGTGGATGGTGGAGGGCAGCATAGGAACATGGGAAAGTGCTTTTTTATTGAATCCATGTTCAGTGTACCTGGCCAAGTATTATCAGCCCTGGCTGGCAGCAGCTCCCTGGGATTCTGGGGTTTCAAGCCAGAGTTTTACTTAGCAGTAATCCAGAGATCCCTGGTATTAGCTGGTGATCTCCCATGCAAGTAGCAACCTGGCCCAACCCTGTTTAGCTTCTGAAATCAGACAAAATGACATTTATGCACAGTAATATGATATAGCCTCACTTAAGCTGCTCCTCCTAGTACCCCATATACCACAGAATGTGCTGTGTGCACACACTGGGTAGATTACTGCTCCTAGGACTGGTGGATGATACTGTCCCATTCCCACTGTTTTCAACTTGATCAAGCCAATTGGCTTCTTTGTGTGGAATGAAGGAGACATTGTTAAATCCTTTAACTCAGGCAGTGAGATATCTTGAGTTGGACCCACTTAACCTTGACCTCATTTTAAAAAAATCATAGTATCTAAATATATGAACAGGGCTGTATATATGGCATAAAATGTAACCATGTCTCCCTTAAAGTTTCTCTAATGTAAGAAATGCAAGATAAGTGAACTCCTCCTTTCTAAGCACTATCACGTTTTTCATTCTGTTTCATATAATTCTGTCAATGATCAAATCTACAAGCTTGTAAGGAAAACCAGTTCTCATAGAAACCTCTTTTCTGGTTGCTTGTAAAGGAAAATTAGTATTAGCGTTCTCAGAGAAACCTCTTCTTGTTGCTTATCATGATGGCATTTTTTATTCCTGCACCTTTTTATTTACAGATCAGTGATATAGTTGGATATGAGATAAGACCTGATGAAACTACTTCGCTCATGAATATATTAGAATATGGGCTTTCAAAATATATTGACAAGTAAGAAAAAAACCCAAAGCTTTTGTGTAGGGAGTATTTACTGTATACTTTAAGAAAATGAACAAATATGTAATAGCTGCTTTCCTATAAGAAAAATTGGGGAACTCTTTACAAGCTGCATTTGTGGAGAATTATTGATGAGGGGGAGAATGTATAAAGTCCATTAACTGAACACAGTAGTGCTTGGGAATATTGTTTTTGGGATGGCATTTCTTAGAATATGCCAGCCATTATGGCTTCTGTAACTTTGGTGGGCTCTGGTTTACATCTGTGTTTTTTTAAGTATCCTTGTGATGAACCAATTTTATGAGCAACAGGCTTGGAATAAGTCCTGGGTTTTATCTACATCAGGTGGGACGTGGTGGCGCTGTGGGCTAAACTGCAGAAGCCTTTGTGTGCTGCAGGGTCAGAAGACCAAGCAGTCGTAAGATCCAATCCACACGATGGAGTGAGCGCCCGTCGCTTGTCCCTGCTCCTGCCAACCTAGCGGTTTGAAAGCATGCAAATGCGAGTAGATTAATAGGGACCACCTCGGTGGGAAGGTAACAGCGTTCCGTGTCTTAGTCGCACTGGCCATGTGACCACGGAAGATTGTCTTTGGACAAAACGCTGGCTCTATGGCTTGGAAACGGGGATGAGCACCGCCTCCTAGAGTCGAACACAACTGGACAAAAATTGTCAAGGGGAACCTTTACCTAGATAATTCACTATGACATAGGCGGAGATAGGGGGTGGAATGGGTTTGGAATCTGGATCGCAGCTGCCATTGGCAGCTTCTATGTTTCCAGCTAAAGTTCTGGATACAGATGATGAACTTTTGCAAGCCTGAGTGTCTCTCCTTGCTAGCCACTGGCACTCTTTCAGGTTTTGCACCAGTGACAAATAACTGCTAGGGTAGTGATGCCAAAGTTTTGGATGGGGCCACATGCAGGCCAGAGCATGGAAATAACTGTTGTTGATAAATCACCTCTGACTTATCGTAACCCTATGAATGAAAGATCTCATGTCCTATCCTCAACAACTCTGTTGTAAATGCAAGTCTGTGGTTTTCCGTTTGGAGTTTACCCATCTCATGTCTGGCCTTTATTTTTTCCTGCTGCCTTTGGCTCAACAACTCTGTTGTAAACTCAAGCCTATGGTTTTCTGTTTGGAGTTGACCTATCTTATATTTGGCCTTTATTTTTTCCTGCTGCCTTTGGCTTTTTGCAGCATAATTGCCTTTTTCCTCCTTAGGATGTGCTCAGAGTGCTATGGCCTCAGTTTTGTCATTTTTGCCTCCAGAGATAATTCACGTTTGATTTGCTCTAGGATCCCCTTGTTCATCTTTCTGGCAGTCCGGGGTATCCTCAAGGCTTTCCTCCAGCACCATATTTCAAATCAGTTTCTAGTTATAAGTAACTCATTGCTTGTGATTAATATCTTTTTCTAGTTGCAAAGATATAATATCACATGATGGTTACAACTGAACAAGAGGTAACCTCACTCCTTTTATGGTATAACTGTATTTTTAAAGTTATTTCTATAGTAATGAAGATGTGGCCTCATCAGATAGTGAGTGATGATTGTCTACAAAGTCAGTGTTGTCTCATGAGGCCATGCTCCATATTCTTTTGTTAATGGTGAGGCAGCAACAAGATGGATGAAAGGAGAGTGTGTTTTTTGCCAGAGCCCAGTAGCTTGTAACATTTAGATGTTTCCCCCTCATAAGTAACCAAAAAAGTTAATAATTCAGTAACTTACAGCAAACAGAAACATTTTATACGATGAGTGTTCACTGCTATGTAAACATGGGCTTCATTTGCATGAATCTTTGTGGAAATCCCCCTTTCAGAGGCAAAACCGTTCATTTGAAGAGAATACACATTCTTCTTAGTGTCTAGTTTAACCCAACAACCAACTTTTAAAAATGTGTAACTACCATAGTGACAAATTACTTTTGTGGGCAAGGCAATGGTTATAACTATAATTAATTACTTTCAAACCCACGCACCTCTGTTTCCTGAGTTTAGCCCGCAGCGCCACCACGTCCCTTTTCCCCTCATAAGTAACCAAAAAAGTTAATAGTTCAGTAACTTACAGCAAAGAGAAACATTTTATATGATGAGTGTTCACTGCTATGTAAACATGGGCTTCATTTGCATGAATCTTTGTGGAAATCCCCCTTTCAGAGGCAAAACCATTCATTTGAAGAGAATACACATTCTTCTTAGTGTCTAGTTTAACCCAACAACCAACTTTTAAAAATGTGTAACTACCATAGTGACAAATTACTTTTGTGGGCAAGGCAATGGTTATAACTATAATTAATTACTTTCAAACCCACCCACCTCTGTTTCCTGATCAGTAGTGTGTTTTTAAAATGTTTTAAAGAATTAATTTGCTAAGTAAATGAATTAAAACTTGCACCATTACTTTAGTCTCCCTAGTGCCTGAGCATATATTGCTTTGTACTTCATTATTTTCTTATTTCCATTTCTGATTTCTAGACTAGAGCCTATAGGAGCAGCAGCTAGCAAGGAATATTCCTTAGAGAAAAACATGGAGAAAATGAAATCGGAATGGACCAATATCTGTTTCAGTTTTGTAAAATATAGGGACACAGTGAGTACATCACTCCTCTTCAGATAACTGTGTTTGGGACCATCATTCTTCTTTTCCCCCAATTATGTTTTTTGCTGAAATCTACAGGTTTCTTGATTTCACATTGACTTCTAAACAGCAAGATACACACTAATTGTCTGTCTGCCTGCCCACCTGCCAAGTCTCCCAGTAGGTTAACCACTGATTCCAAATAAGAGGCTGACTATAGGATCATAGAATCATGCATTTGAAATAGACATCAAAGATCATCAAGATTAATCCCTCCCGCGGGAAATCAGCTGCTATAGTATCCCAGTCTGTTTTCTTTCATTAAAAAATCCTGCTAAAGGATAAGCTGTCACCATCTCTTGAGCCACAATGAAATGTCTTCTACTGTCACTCATGTTCTTCCTAATGGCAAAGTCACCCTTCAGTGAATATGAATGAATTGATTTGGGCCCTGCACCCTGGGGAGTCACTTATGTGACAGTTTGTCTTTCTCTTTCATACCTACTCAATCCTTAGACTTCCAAGATTAGATTAGGCATCCTTCAGTCTTGAGAGACTATGGTAACGTGCTCTGTATGGAAGACTTGGAACAGCGTCTAGTGTGGCCAATTTGAGAGTGACAATCTCTTCCACACTGAGGACAAATACAATCTGTCCCCTGTCCAGCTCCTTGATTTTGCTGGTTTCAGGACTGCCTCTTTGCCTTGGCCCGCAGAACAAGTACCTCTTCAAATTGGGAGAGGCCATGATGCACCACCTGCCTCCAGGCTAAACGCTCAGATGTCAAGGTTTCCCATCTGTTGAGGTCCATTCCTAAGGTCTTCAGATCCCACTTGCAGATATCATTGTATCGCAGCTGGGGTCTCCCTCCAGGGCGCTTTCCATGCATTAATTCTCCATATAGGAGATCTTTTGAAATCTGACCATCAGCCATTCTCATGACATGCCCCAAACAACGTAATGTACATATGCTAAAAATTCAAGCTCTAGGACGACTCTATTTGGAACTTTGTCCTGCCAAGTGATACCAAAAATGCATCGGAGACAACGCATATGGAATGTGCTCAGCTTCCTCTCCTGCACAAAGTCATGAACAACCAAGACTTCAAAGAAGCTCACTGACATCTCCGTCTTACTTATGAATGGTCCATTTTTATTATACAGTAGGACCCCCATATCCATGGGATCAGTATCCATTGTTTCACTTATTCACGATCTGAACATATTTAAAATATTAAAAGAAAAAAAAACTATGTTTTTCTTACATGTATTACCAGAAACAGCCACAAGAGGGAACCAGGGACCTTGCTATGAATACTTTTTAGTGAAGAATATATGACATGGTTTCTGTCACCCTCTAGAGGCCAGTTCTGGTAATGCATGTGAAAAAAAATTTCTCTCTTTTTTTTCTCCTTTTACGATGCTGTTTATACAGCATTTGCTATTATCCACTGTTTTCAGTATCCACGGGGGGCTTGGAACCAATCCCCAGTGGATATAAGGGTCCTTCTGCATATGGATCCATACTCAGAGAATTGAGAGTTTGATTTGTATTTGATTATGATGAGAGAGCAAGACTGCACTGTATCGTTATATCATTTTATACTGCTTTAACTACTGTGGCTCCATTTTACAGGGACTTGTACTTTGGTGAGGTATTCAGAACTCTCTGCTAGGGACCTATAGTACACACACTTATACAAATACTAATAACAATTATGTGCCAAGTCAAGTGTGACTTATGGTGATCCTTTCCAGGTTTTGGGAGTACTCAAAGATGGTTTGCTATTCCTGTCTTCTGAAGCTATTCTTGGACTGTGCCGCTTGCCTAAGGCCACACAGCTTAGCTCTTCTCACAGTAGTGACAGTGGGAAATTGAATTCCCAAGCTCTGGCTCCACAGCCAGATCCCTAACTCATGAAGCTATTCAGCCATCCCATTATACTTCAGGAGATAATTCTCAATACTTCACCAAAGTGCAAATCCCAGGATTCCTTAGCCTGCAGCTATGATCATTCAAGTGGGCCTAAATGTTTGCCGATAAATATCTGAAGACAACTGATGGTACTGTTTAAACTGCCAAGACCTGAAGCTTTGAACCATTAATTCAAAGAAAGTGTGGTTTCCTTGCAGGATACCAGCATTCTGTCAGCCATTGATGACATCCAGCTCTTGCTTGATGATCACATTGTGAAGACCCAGACAATGTGTGGCTCGCCTTTCATCAAACCAATAGAAACAGAATGCCGGGTAAGGAGAAACAGGACGTCTTGTCAGTGTGTGATTCCGTGCCTTTTCCCCTTGGAAGTGTTTAATATATATACTGTACATGCTATGTATGTATGTATGTATGTATGTATGTATGTATGTATGTATGTATGTATGTATGTATGTATGTATGTATGTATGTATGTATGTATGTATGTATGTATGTATGTATGTATGTATGTATGTAGTCCAACTGGCAAATGTTATTCGGGTGGTTTGAAAGTGGTTGTAGGTGGTTTGAAAATGTTAAAAGCCAGCCATAAGTTTAGTTTATTATTATTAGGGTCCGTGACCAGCAAAAAATATTAAACATAATACAGGTTGCATTTGTAAGGCAGTCACAGCGCTGAAACAGAGAAAAGGGGTTAAAGAAAAGGTGTGTCTTAAAATTGTTATCTATTAAGTCTTTACTAATCTTGAATGCAGCTGCAAGAAATTTCGCACAGGTAAATGAAATCTGGGGATTAAGGCCAGAAGTAGTTTATATGAGATCTCTGTTTCAGGATATCCCAAAAACTAGTAGATCTATATGGTAGATTGAACTCCCAACCAATGGAAACATGGCCCTGCCCTTGTAATTCTGGGGCCCCCAAGTCCCTGGCACATATGCTTCTTTATTGTACAGTATACAGTGATATCCATGCATCTAATTTAGAGTAAATTCTTGCTAGTTTACCTGGTCGATCCGAGGAGGTAATTTTGTAAACTCTCCTGCTAGGTGAGAACAAAATCTATACCAGGCAGATGGCAAAATATATCGATCTATTAATGCAGTGACGCAGGTCACAATTCCCAACATTCCTCCCATTGGTAACCTCTGGGGGAAGAGCATGCCATCTAGCTAGTGAGAAGGCCCTGCAATGGGTTGGCAACTCCAAGATAAGTAGCTGGAGCTACAATATAGCTGAAATTATCTGCTGCGAGAAAATTGGAGGCTGTGCTAATATTGCCTTGTCTCTCTGTGGCAAACACCCTCTGCTTGACAAGTGCAGTTGCCTTGTCTAATCCCACTGTAGGGAGAGACTGAGGGGAGAAGCCTATAGATGTTAACTTCTATGGTACTGCTTTTAGCCAAAGAGAGAAGTGGTTTGGGAGAATTAAAGATGTTAATTCTTGTGGGTGGTAATTTAATTTAAGTAAGAAATTGATGGAGGAAAGACTTACTCTGGCTTCGACTTTGAGTAGGTCAGATTTTAGGCATAAACCGGTGTTAGAAACACATCTGGGCATTTGGAAGACTGATCTTATGAGTTCTTTCTAGTGGGGCAAAACTAGGAGCTGGAGGCCCCATATAAAACTTGTGAGAGGACTTTAGCCTGAAATAGCTTGAAGGCTGTAGGAGTACATTGTCCTCCCCAGTTGGCTTGTGCAGATTTTTGTCCAATCTCAGCTACATATTTGTGATGGGGTTTTCTTGCCCCATTTGGTTGTAACGTTATCCTTCTTATGAGTTCTTTCTAGTGGGGCAAAACTAGGAGCTGGAGGCCCCATATAAAACTTGTGAGAGGACTTTAGCCTGAAATAGCTTGAAGGCTGTAGGAGTACATTGTCCTCCCCAGTTGGCTTGTGCAGATTTTTGTCCAATCTCAGCTACATATTTGTGATGGGGTTTTCTTGCCCCATTTGGTTGTAACGTTATCCTTAGGTATTTGTAGGTCGCTACCTGCTCTAGTCAGTGCCCATTAATGCTCCTGACTGTGGCTTTAGGTCTCTTCCTGAAGGCCTAAATGCCTGTAGGGGTCTTCTGAGTCCTACAAGAGTTCTTGAGAGTAGGACTATATTGTCAGCATACAGTAGTATGGGGATCTTTCTGTGTCAGGGGAAATGCTTCAATGTGGTTTTACTGTAGAAAATAAATAGCATGGGTGCCAGGACACATTCCTGTCTCACACCTTTAGATGAAGTTAGCAATATTATATTCTTATAGAGGTTTCAGAATATAAGGCTTATATTAGGTGGAGAAGCCTTTGGTCAGTGGATGTGTCCTCCAGTTTTTCCCCACAATTTTTCTCTTAGAATGGAGTTGAAGACAGACTTTAAGTCAATGAAGGCTACATATAGGGATATTGTATTCCCGGTCATATATTTATCAATTAAGTGTTGCATAACCAGGCTGTGCTGCTGGGTTGATCGTCCTTCCCTGAATCCTGCCTTCTTTCCTAACAGTATATTTCCTTGGTCTAGCTAAGTTTTACGTTTCCTCAAAAGGTGGCCAGGGTATAGCTTACCTATAGTTTATCCCTCCTTCCTTTCTTGAAGAATAGGACTATTATCACTTGCATCCAAGCTTCAGGGATATATCCTGTACTGTCTATATAGGTGAATAGTGTAGCAAGGGGTAGGGTCCACCAATCAACGTTATTTTTCAACAATTCAGGGGGAATGTTATGTATGTCAGGAGCTTTTTCATTCTTGATTAATAAGCTATTTGAGATCTCATCCTTCAAAGCAGGGGGCCATTCAGCAGAGCCAGGCATAAAACTGATAACGAAATTAAAAACATAGTATGAATATTAAAGAATTATAGATTAAATGCCTGTTGGAAAAGGAAGGGTTAATATTTAATTATATACAGTGGACACCCAGTGTATCTTTCTAGCAAGGTGTAATGAATAAGCACAAAGAATAATATGTCAATGAGACTGGTGTGTGAAATGTTCACACTACCATGTTAAAGATAGCAGTACTATATATTCCTATACGTTCTGTAGTTGGAAGCAGCAGGTGGAGCTGAACAGAGACAAGGTCTGAACATTTCATGCCACCACATTTACTGTATTCTAGAGAAACTAATTGCACTTCCCCACCAGCTATAAAACTGCTGTGGGAGAGACAATGATTTTCGTTTTGCTTATTCTCACCCCAAACCCTCTTTTCTGGCAATTTACAGAAGTGTTAGAAAAGTATAGAACATCCACAGCTCAGCATCCCCTGATGGAGTTTTGCTTTGGGAGTGTAGTGCTGCCTAAGGAATTATGTCTCAGAGTGTATCTATTGAATTCAGGAGCCCCCAGAGTAGAAGGATGTTGTTTTAAGCTTCTATTTGCCTTATGTTTATCTGCATCCGTTATATGTACATCACTATATTCAGTAAACGCTGTGTCACTCTTCCTGGTTATTCTCTAATCTGCTTGATGATGTCAGTATAGCAGTGGCTCCTTCTGGATTTAGTCCAAACTTCGAAGGAAGTGCTAAACCTGTTCTGGGGCTAGGTTTCAGTGCCTTCTATTGGTCATCATTGTCTCACTGGCCTCAAACTCATCACCTCCAATACCCCGGTGAAGGTTTAAGCAGGCTAAGACAGGTGCTGCATATGTGTGTGTGTGTGTAGAACTTTCCTTCCCTGGTAGCCATCCGGCACTCAATTGTGGAATGTGTATGTCTTGTTCTTCTATAACATGTAATTCAGAGAATTTTCCTTCCCTGGTAGCCATCTGGCACTAAATTGTGGAATGTGTGTGTCTTGTTCTTCTATAACATGTAATTCAGATTGTGATAATTTAAAAATAATAACATAGCAATAAAAAAGTTCTACTCTAGCTGAAAAATACAATTACATAGTAATCTCTCATCTATGGCCAACACATTTTGACTTCTAATGATTCTGCTAGTTGGTGCAAGCCTGTTATTTTGGTTTCTCCAAATCCATAAGATTTTCAAGATGGTATTTTGATTATTTAATCCCTGCTTAGTGTAATTTAGGTGCCAGGATGATGACTTCAGGACCTCGTTCCTGCAGTAGGACACAAATGAAAGGATTGTGTGAAAGCTACTGTATTTTTTAAAGACTGCTTCAGCCAAAAGCACACAGCACCACTTTTTATCAATATTTCATGATGGAGCTGAGTCTTGCCTTGAATTTTGACAGCTTATTAGTGACTGCTTCTTGGCCTTAAATCAAGATATTTGGCTCTTCAGAATTGCCTTGCTACTTTCCTCCAGCGGAGCTCACCTTGTGAGTGAACAGAATGAATAAAACACAATCTACAAATCTGATCTCATTGATTATAGTCAGTTTTCATGGCACCAAGGAAACATCCTAGGAGTTACAGGCTGAAATCCAGTAGTACGTTGCAACTGGAGTTGGCCCTGTGAATCAATGGAACATACAGAGAGGCTGACTTTTGCAATAAATAAATAAATAAAAAATCCTGATTCAATTGGCCTATTCTAGATGTGATTTACTACTGGATTTCAGTTGATACCAACTCCGTATGATTTGGGAGATGGCAAAGAAGGAAGAAACAAGTAGCTGGCGAGCACAAATAAGGTAAGGCAACAACCCTAAACATACGTAATGCCATTGAACACAGTCTTGACATCTTATATCTGAGCAAGAGTGCTCTTCATGACTTCAGTTTAAATCAGTGAATGAGAGGAATGGAATGGGGTTTCCATAATTATTTTATTTTTATTTTATTTTATACACTTAAAATATTCTTTTCCTATCTCTTAATTGCGGACATTCTTAGGGAGACTATAATAGATAATAATCTTTATAACAGACTGCCAAAATGAAATGCTAAAACTAACACATTGTAATTGGACATCAGCACTGACAAAGTTAAGACAGTCCATTAAAATCAGAATATACTTAGCTTGACTATGTTAGTCTATTAAATAGATTATGGGCTATATGTCATCCTATTAGAATTTCCTGAAGCCTCACTAGGATGGATAACTGTGAACACCATATGAAAATAAAAAAAGGTTCCTGATCTTATCATCAAGTATTGGCTAGATGGAAGTGCAAGCATTAGCTACCTGTTACAAATTGATTTGTTCAGATAAATGTTCGGTTATGTGTGCACAAGATTTCAACATTCCATTCTCTAAAATAGAAGTGGGTACATATTGATGCTTGATAGACGTGCTTCGCTTTTTAAAATGGAATCTCAAGGTTTACCAACCAGAGCCAAGTACAAAAGATAGGCAGAGAAAGAAGGTGCTTCTGAGGGGCAAAGTAATTCATTTAATTGATCGCTGCAAATTATGTCAGGCAACAGTATTGACAAAAGAAAAATGACATTCCATTTTAAACCGTTATTCAGTCTGCTGATCAGAAACTGAAAATAGGTCCTTCTGAAAACTTGAAATTAAAATAATCTCTTCACAGAGGTGGGAAGAGAAGCTTGTCCTGATGCAAGAAATTTTAGACAACTGGTTGAAATGTCAGGCAACGTGGCTTTATCTGGAACCCATTTTCAGTTCTGAGGACATTTGTGCCCAGATGCCAGAGGAGGGTAGAAAGTTTGGGATTGTGGATACTTACTGGAAGGATATCATGGAACAAGCGGTCAGTACTTACGTTTAATTAATTACGTTTAATTAATTACGTTTAATTAATAGCTAATCCTGAATTTCCTTTTTTCTTTTTCTTAGTGTATAATTTCATGGTTGAAAGTTTTCTTCTTTGTAAATTTGTTTTTAGTTATTGTTGTACCCCTGTTGTGAGCCGCCTAGAGTGGTCTATTGACTAGATAGGCAGGATATAAATAAAATAAATAAATAAAATAAATAAATGACTAAGCCGAGGGCACCAGCATCTGAAGACAACTCTGCATGAATTGATCTGCCACTCCATCACTATGCCCTTTTTCTTTCCCTTTCTTCTTTCTCCCCTGTCCCTTGCTTTCTTCTTTTTGTTTGTCTTTCAGTCATCCCTAGTAGTTTTCCAGACATCTGATTTGCATTACTGTCTTCTTCCCTACAATGATTCACGTAAGAAACTACACTCACAGAATGAATTTATTGTTGGTGTGTAAAATTGACTGTTCTACCTGAATCCTACACAAATAAGAGTTATTTAAAGATGTATAAAATCACATTAATAGATTAAGAAATCAATGAAAGTATGACGACGTCTAACATAATGCATTCTATATGGGTGTTTTTACTAAATAAAAATTGAGTACCAATTGTTTTTACCATTTTGCACATTTAAAAAAATATAGGTAAAAGACACCAGAGTACTAGTTGCTACAGAACAGCCAAAGATGTTGGACAGACTTCAGGAAGCAAATATTCTTTTGGAAGATATCCAGAAGGGCCTGAACACTTACCTGGAAAAGAAAAGGTTATTTTTTCCAAGGTTGGTTCATCAGCAACTTGGCAAATGAATGCTAATTAGGAATTTTGATCAGTAGAGCCACAAAACCCAAAACCCACAGAACACAATTCATTGTATGAGGAAACTTTCTATACCTGTTACAAGATCTCACCCGATTGAATAAATAAATAAATAAATAAAACCCACAGAACTTTCTATACCTGTTACAAGATCTCACCCTCTTTATATTAGAAAATGAAGCAGTCTTTTGGATTATATGAAGGGCCTATCTTCACAGCAGCAAACTAGCTGCTCTTGGGAAGACTAGAAACAGGACAGGAAATGTATGCTTGTTTCCTAGTGACTGATATTCAGAGGCATGTTTCTTACATCTGGTCCATGGAGGGCTTTGTATGTGAGTGTCAAAATCTTGAACTTGATCTGGGACACCACAGAGGTGAGCCAGAACAGGAGTGATGTGGTCAAATTTACTTGCACCAACCAACAGTCTGGTTACCACATTCTGGACCCACTGAAGTCTCCGGATCAGGTCCAAGGGGAGCCCCATGTAGAGGACCTTGCAGTAGTCAATCCAGGAGATGACCAGTGCCTGCACCAAAGTCCTGAGGGGGTCCTCATCTAGGTGAGTAATTAGCCAAGGCTGGTAAAAAGCTAGTCTGCAATCTGGGTACCCCAAGAAAGAGCCAGATCCAGAAGAACACCCAAATTACATACTTTGTCCCTAAACTGGAGGGGAGTACCATTCAGCCTAGGGACCATCCCCCCACACCTATTGGAGGTCCCCACCCCAGGAGCAAAATCTCTGTTTTGTCCAGGTTCAGCTTGAGCCTGTTAGCCCAGGTCCATTCCAGTACTGCAACCAGACAACACTCCAGGAGAGTCGTGTGTCATCAGCATACTGATGATACCTTACTCTAAAGCGCCTGATGACCTCCCCAACAGCTTAATGCAGATATTAAACATTGGGGATAGTCCCTGAGGAACCCCACACAGAAGGGTCCAAGGTGACAACACCTCTTCCCCTAAGTCAACTCTCTGGGCAAGGTCCTCGAGGAAGGATTGGATTACATTACAACAGGTGTGTGTGTGTGTATTTTGTGCCATCAAATCAGAACTGACTTAATAGTGACCCTAATAGGACTTTTGAGGGAAGTGAGCTATTTAAGGAACGGTTTTATCAGTTCTACTCCTCCAGTGAGTTTTCATGGCTGAGCACTGTGTCAACCTTGTTCTCCAGAATCCTAGTCTGTCACTCTGTCCTCTACACACAGCAGGAATCGCTCATAGCAATCTACTGTTCCTGGGAAAACTTGTTTCTTTCCCAGCTACTGTGAAGATTACAGCTAAGCTGAAAGGGAACAGGGAAATCCAAGGGAGGTCAGAAATTATGGCATAGTCTCTGCTGCTCAAAACAACGGTGTCAACCTTGTTCTCCAGAATCCTAGTCTGTCACTCTGTCCTCTACACACAGCAGGAATCGCTCATAGCAATCTACTGTTCCTGGGAAAACTTGTTTCTTTCCCAGCTACTGTGAAGATTACAGCTAAGCTGAAAGGGAACAGGGAAATCCAAGGGAGGTCAGAAATTATGGCATAGTCTCTGCTGCTCAAAACATCCAGGACTTCAATGTGCACCTTCTGTCTTTACCGTTACTTCTCAGTAAGTCTTATGCAGAGCTTAGAAGCATTACTTTTTAGACTCCAGTTCCCCAAATTCCCACTATCATGACCAGTGGGTGATGGAATCTGGGAATTGTAAAGGTAGCATTTCCAAGCTCTGTCTTTATGTCATTTTATTTATCTAGTTTTACTTGCATGCATCATGTTGCACACTTTGGGTCTACATTTTAAAAAAATCTATTCAAAAGGATTCCTGGTTCCTTAGGGTTTGCAATCCTGTAGTCTCTTGTTTGTGAAAATAATAATGGAAACCAGTGGAATCATTCTTAGAGATTCCTCATGTACTGTGATGAGTTAATCTTTCTGAGAGTATGATCTGCAATTTGTCCCCTGTTCTGAGTTAAACATTAATCTGTGTATTTTGGAACTTGTTTTGAACAGGTTCTTCTTCCTTTCTAATGATGAGTTGCTGGAGATTTTGTCTGAAACCAAAGATCCTCTCCGTGTACAGCCACACCTGAAGAAATGCTTTGAGGGAATTGCAAAACTAGAATTTACAGACAACATGGAGATTGTAGGGATGATCAGTTCTGAGAAGGAAGTTGTTCCTTTTATTAAGAAAATCTATCCAGCACATGCCAGAGTAAGCTTTGCATCCTATCCCTGCTACTACTACAGTGACGATGTATTTGTTATTGAAACATGCTTTCAGCAAAATGCCTTTGGAACTCATGTGCAGACTGTTGTTTTTAAAGAACGCAGAGAAAAGCAGTGGGTGAAATGGCATTTGGAGCTTAATGTGTCTTCAAAGGGGAATTAATAAAATGTAAGGTGTAAAGCCAATGGCAAATGCATCGCCCCTGCTTGATAGTGATTATAGGAGTTGCAGTACAACCTGTTTCAACAATGTTAGATTGGCAAAGGTTGGTCTTCCAGGGTTTCTGTTGAATTTCAAAACAGCATTTCCCACTTTGAAGGTTCTCATTCAGTTATTGTGTGTTTTAGAGATCCTTTAGATCCTTCATTTTCAATGTCTTTTTTCAGGGCATGGTTGAGAAATGGCTGTCACAAGTGGAAGAAGCAATGCTGGCCAGTATTAGGCAGGTCATAGAAAATGGCATTGGAGGATATGTGGAGGTAATAAACAATCTACAAATGCCTTACAATGATGTCTTTATCTCCAAGACATCCCAGGTTCATGAATTCCATCAAACCAACATGACTGAAACTAGCTACACAGTTCTCCTTTCATCATTTGATGCTATTATTTATTATTAGAGATGGGGGTATTCATATCACAGGTGGAGATAACGAGTGTCCGGCCTCATGGGGCTGGACGGTCCACTCACGATTGCGCCACCACCATGACTGCACGGTGCCTTCCAGTGGCTCCGGAGATTGCGTTAGGCGAGCACTCTTCGACCTAGCAGATAGGCTTGTCGTCCTGCCTCCTGCCAGGAGTGGTGAGCCAAATGGGATCTCCGGACCCACTAGAAGGCTCCATGGCAGTCGTGGCAGCAGCGGAATTGTGAGTGGACCGTCTGGCCCCATGGGGCTGGACACTTGTTGTCTCCACCTGTGTGTGCACTTTTTAAAAGGGCTTTTCAATTTTAGAGTAACACCTTTGCACCCCATTCAGATTTCTTATATTTTAATATATTTTTCCTGCCACATAGTTCTATTAAAAATCCGCAATTGCTGGGGATGATGGTGATTGTAGTCTCACTCCAGTTTGAGGAAGGAAGTCCTAGCCACATAGTTCTTCTTCAGTATTTTAAGCTGTTATTTATTATGTGTTTTCCCCTTCCAATAAAGGTTCCTCGGAACAAGTGGGTCCTCCAGTGGCCTGGACAAATAGTCATCTGTGTGTCATCAATCTTTTGGACAAAAGAAGTATCAGAAGCAATAAAGGAAAATACACTACCTGTAAGACTTTTAAAAACAATAAAATGAAATAGAGTTATACCTTATCTCCATTAAAGAAAGTATTTGACAGCAAATGGTAGTTGGTGCATGTGGCGATAAATTAATAGTTTAGCAGAATTTAATTAAACCTGGTGTTCAAAGGTTTCCAGGATGCAGTGCTGAATCATGAACCTAAGATTCTTTATTAATATGCCATCCTACATATTGAAAATCATCCATAATTTATCTTTCACGATTATGAAAATACTAATCTGACAATTTTTACGAAGGAGTCAACCCACTGCAGAGACATGACATCAACGTGTTTAAGCATACCTTTCTCTGCACTGGATTGATGCCTTATATTTAAGTATTATTATTTATCTAATTTGCATTCTTTCATCCATGATGAAACACAAATTGGTGTATATTAGCTTTTCCGGTGGGTCTGCCATCCAGACAGATTGGATTCAGATTTCCTTAGCAATTGTGAGACTGCTTCCTACAGTCATTGGTTAGGGCAGTGGTTCCCAATCTTGGGTCCCCGGATATTCTTAGACTAAAATCCCCAAAAGCCTTCACCAGGATTTGTTGTCCAAGATTATTATTATTTCTTCTTCTTCTTCTTAGATTTGTTATCCAGGATTATTATTTCTTCTTCTTCTTCTTCTTCTTCTTCTTCTTCTTCTTCTTCTTCTTCTTCTTCTTCTTCTTCTTCATCATCATCATCATCATCATAATTTTCAATAATATAACAATAAAAAATAAAATGCCATTAACACATCAACTTAAGAAGAAATAATATTTAAAAACTCAATAATAACATACATTTTTTTACTCTGTGCTCTCCACCGCCCTTGGGATTAATTTCCATATTTATTTTACATTATGTTTTATACCATCCCATTTTTCTCCAGAAATTTCTTTTCTCAAACACATATATCAGAAATAAATTATTTACTGTATTACTGTACTTTAAAATCATTAGTATTCAATATTCCTTTTCTAATCTTGGTTTCACAAGTTACTGTGTTTCCCCAAAAACAAGACAGGGTCTTATATTAATTTTTGCTTCAAAAATGCATTAGGGCTTATTTTCAGGGGATGTTTTATTTTTTTCCATGTACAACAATCTACATTTATTCAAATACAGTCGTACCATCTGATGCACAAGGGTGGAGGGCAGGGGTTTCACTTAACTGGGGCTTGTTTTTGGGGTAGGGCTTATATTACAAGAATCCTGAAAATTCATACGAGGTCTTAATTTTCAGGTTAGGTCTTATTTTCAGGGAAACAGGATAGTTGTTAATAGCCATATTCCACATTTCTTTATACCATTCCTCCATATTAAGTTGGTTATTATTTTTCCAATTCTTTGCAAATATCAAACATGCCACAGTTACCATAATAATGTTTCTTTTCTTCCCCCTTTAATTGATTATTATTAACCATGTTCAACAAAGCTATCATTGATGTACATCAATTCCCATTTTTCAGTAATCTCTTTAAAGATCACTGACCATTCCTTCTTCCTCATTTTGCAAGTCCACAAGAATTTTTGGGAGTTGTAGTCCAAGAACATCTGGGGATCCAAGGTTGGGAACCACAAGGCTAAGGTCATGTCAACCTTAGCAGATTATGGCTGAGAAAAGTGGCCTGTGATGCAGACATTCTGTACCAAGGTATAGTCTTCTGACATGAGGCTGGTCTGGACAATATGTGCCCCACAGACTAACCTAACAGCAGGCGCAATAGTAAGAGCACGTAGCCCCACTCCATTCCCCCCTAGGTGATGACTCTGTTTTATCTGCACATAGAAAAATGAAGTATTCAGTAGCTGCAAACAAATAATTTGAAATCACAGGAGGGGCAGCTGGACAGTTTGGCTGTATTTGTACAGGTATTAATAGCAGGGGTGATGCGGTGTTCCTGTTGTGTGTAACAAGACACTTTTCCAAGACATCAGAAACCACAAAGCAGGAACTTATCTTACAACAAGGGAAGGAAATACTGTTTGTGGGCTACATACAGTCCTCCCATGGCTGGGGTTGTTTTTTTTTTGGCCCTGGTAGGTTCCCCCCAAGTTTACCTTTCTCCCCCCAAAAACTTGGAGAATCATACTTGCATGGAGATGTGATTCTGATCTAAAACAACACATGATTTCCCCCAGAATGGAAGGACAAACAAACAAACAGCAAACCCCATCTCCATTCTTGTTCTTGAAACTGTGGATAGTCTTGCTGAAACTGAAAGTGACCTTCTGTTCATTTCTGGGTGCACCTGGAGTGCTGGAGCTAGAAAAAATGGTCCCCAGACCTTTGGAGCTTCCCATATCTATGTTACAGAATGGGGTGAGGGAGGCATATTGCAAATCCCACTTTGAAATAATAGCCTGCCCCTATTTGTTTTTGTCACAGGTGTTTTTGGAAAAAAGCAACAAACAGATTGCAGAAATTGTTGAACTGGTGAGAGGAAAGCTGTCCAGCGGTGCCCGACTGACTCTGGGGGCCCTCACAGTCATTGACGTACATGGTAAATGGCAGGGCTGGGGAGTGGGAAAAAGCAGGAGACACAACGTATGAAAAAAGCTAGACTGCATGAGTAAGTTAGGATTAGGAAAGGGATGAGTGTTCAAAAATGGAATTAAAAATGCTAACACACACACACCAGTGCATGTGAGCAGGTTTTGAGACTGGGTCCTCTTTTAATTCTTCCTGCTAAAATTTGTGAAGAGATGTTGCCTAAGGCATTGCATATATAAACATCACATCTAGGTGTTCCCCTGAGCTTCACCAGATGACCGAGACAATAGGTTGGCATTTATGTTCATCTTCAGATGCCCAGTAAGTGTCCAGGTTGATTTGAGTAGATGTATTGTTTTTTCACAAGTAGCTCTTTCAGGCTGACTCTGACTTGAAATAACAGTGGTGCCTCGCAAGACGAACGCCGCGCGGGACGGAGAACCCGCAAGACGAATGTTTTTTGCGATCGCTGTGGTGCCTCACAAGACGGCTTCTTCTATGGCTGTGCTTTGCAAGACGAATGTTTTACGCAAGACTGATGTCTCGCAAGACAAATGAATTATTTTTGTCTTGCGAGGTTCCCATAGGAATGCCTTGTCTATGTAAACTTTAACTAGCATTTAGAGTTAAGTGCAACCACAGCTGTTTATGCCAACAGCCAAATTCTTTCCCAACTTCTAATTCACTGAAATTGACTGAATCATGGCAAAATGTTTGCATTATTTTGTAGACTTTAGATGGTATAATCTTACTCTGCCTAATGGTAGAGCTGGTCCTGCTTGGTCATCATCAGTCAGATGTACATTTCTCTTAGTATATGCCTGCCATCTAAATACATGACTTTGAGGATAATATAGAGAACTGTTCCTCCATTTCAAGTCACCATTTTGCAGCTGGATCCAGTTGGGGACCTTGGGGATTATAGTCAAAAGCACAGCAGATTCCATGAACCCAATGCCCGCTCTCCCCAATCTAAACAGTACGATGTGTTTGATGTAGTGTCTTTGCTCCTGCAGCACGTGATGTAGTTGCAAAGTTGGCCGAAGACCATGTTTCAGATTTGAACGATTTCCAGTGGATTTCTCAGCTGAGATACTACTGGGAAGATGAGCATGTGATGGTCCGAATGATTACAACTGAAGCTAGATATGGCTATGAGTATCTGGGGAATTCTCCACGCTTGGTGATAACTCCACTGACAGACCGATGCTATAGGTAACCACCCTCTCCACTTCCCACAGGCTGACACAGAGCTAAGATATTGGTTTGGTAGGAGCCAGGCTAAAATTTGGGGAGAAGGAAACGTGGGTTGGGAGAACTGGAAACCTTCTAATGCAGGCCTGTGAGTCAGAGACATAACTAGGAATTTTGGTATCTGAGGATTTGCTCTCCTATCAGTTAAGCTATGGACACACGAAACTAGAAAGAGATAATAGAGAACTGGGTCTGAGTTGTGTGCAGTCCTAAAGATGCTTTTGTAGCTCCTGGAATTCTCCCTGATGCCTCCAAACCCCTTGCTTGATGAATTATTTTCTTGTGAGAAGAAAAAAAGAAGCCTCCAGAAGCAGTAACTCTTTTTAATCATACTGTCTTTCCCTTGCATGTGTAAAAGTGAAAAACAGTGTTTTAGCTGTGTTAAAAGTGAACTTAACATCATATCCAGTTTTGCTTTGTCATGGGGGGGGCAGGGAGGTTTCATGCTCTCCTGGACATTCCCTGGGATAGGAAATTGGACTTTAGGCCCATGGGTTTTGCTCACTCTTGTTTGAATCTCCATGCACGCTATTCAAAGTCAGGCTCAAGATTATAACCTCAGTAAGATATAGACCATGTCTATATGCCACACTAAACCAGATATGGTAACTAGTGGCTTTCCAGATGTTGTTGAACTTTGTCTCAATCTGAAGCCTGATTCGCTTCGGGCCTCAACAACAGGGTTCAAACTGGGGTTGACTGAGAACAGACCAAGTTCTCTGTGTGAAAGAACAGTGTTACTGTATTTAGTATGGTGATGACAGGGACGTGGTGGCGCTGTGGGTTAAATCGCAGAAGCCTCTGTGCTCTAAGGTTTGTAGATCTTCAGCTGTAAGATCGAATCCACGCGATGGAGTCAGCGCCCGTCGCTTGTCCCACCTCCCGCCAACCTAGCAGTTCGAAAGCATGCAAATGGGAGTAGATAAATAGGGACCACCTCGGTGGGAAGGCAACAGCGTTCCTTGTCTAAGTCGCAGAGGCCATGTGACCATGGAAGATTGTCTTCGGACAAACGCTGGCTCTATGGTTTGGAAACGGGGATGAGCACCGCCCCCTAGAGTTGAACATGACTGGACAAAAATTGTCAAGGGGAACCTTTACCTTTACCTTTATGGTGATGATTAGAAGATGAAGGGGATAAATAAAATCCACAGGAACATTATGTTCTATCATAAGAGCTCCCAAATTATGTGCTTCAAGGTAAAGGTATTTGACTTTTAGGAAGAACCAGAGTATGTAGACAAGACTGGCAAAATAGTCTATAGCTAACAGGGGCAGTGGAAGAGATGCCCAATTAAGTTTGGTGCAAGAGTGTATGAACATCTCTGGAATGTGACGAGTAAGATGAAAAGTTCAGGACAGCATATTAGCTGTGTTTTACTGGATAGTTCTGATTATGCTAGATGCACTAATATAACCCTCTCATAACCTGACAGTTTGTGGTATTATGTCAGTGAATAGTTCGTGCCTGTATCCATCTTTGTGACAGTCTTCTCTTCAGGTGCTGCCACTGCTGACAAGCTGGCAAACCCAATGGTTGGAGATGATGAAAGCTGCATTTCAGCAATATTGGCAGGACCCCAGGTTGCTCACCCTGCACTAAACTATATTTCAGCATAAAAAAATGTGTCATATCATATCAAGCCTGAGTCCACACACTCTTTCTTGCTTTGGCACGGCCACATGGAGATAAATGTTCTTGCTTTTGTTTGTTCAAAGGCACAGCCAAGTAATGAGTACACAAATCTGGCACGTAGTCTGGAGCAGAAAGAAAGGAGAGGAAGAAACAGACCTAAAGTTTAGGAGTCTCTGGAGATAAGGGAGGTCTTGCATCCAGAAGAGCCTTCCCCAACCTAGTACCCTCCAGATGTTTTAGGCTACAACTCTGAAACAGAAAGGCACACCTCCATTTTTGAGAACTCTCAACATCAGGGACAAAATTGAAGTGGATATCATTTCCACTTCAAAATACATATGCCTGAATTTGTTCATATTTTGGCCAGTTTATTGTGTTGCAATGGTGAGATTGTCAGGATCCTTATTACTACTTCAAGCAAAAAATATAATTTAAAAAAAAACACCCCTACTCACGTGCTCCAGTGTCTCGTCATGCATAAACTGGGACCAAGGCTTCAACATACATAAATCAACATAGGGTGACTAAAGCTGCATACTAGAGAGCCAATGTTATATAGGATTATAGTGTTGGCACAGAACAAATTTTAGTTCCCATTGAGCAAAGAACCTCACTGGGTGATTTTGGACTTGTGAATCTGTTTTCATGTAACATAACTCATAAGGCTGTTGTGAGTATAAAATGTGGAGAGCTGTGTACGACACTTTGAGATGGTTGGGGGGATGTTTTATTATAAACATACCCCATGAAGAATGAAGATAACACTAATTGGCAGTGTGTTTGAAACAAGTAGCAGGTGCATTTATCTGCATATCTCTACCTCTGTCTCTGTCCCTCTGCAGTGCTTACTGTTCCCTTTCCGTTTTAGAACTCTAATGGGAGCATTGAAGTTAAACTTGGGAGGTGCTCCTGAAGGACCTGCAGGGACTGGCAAAACTGAAACAACCAAAGATTTGGCAAAAGCACTGGCTAAGCAGGTACCAAAAGCATCATTTGCTGATATCTCCTCTTCTCTAGGGACTTTTTGAAAAGTAAATTTCAGGGATCATACTTGTTTGCACCAAGCATTGATGAACATGGGAGGAAAGAGCCCCACGCTCATAATTACTCCTAGTAATTCCTATGAGTAATCTAGATTGAAGCAACTTTGGAGATGAAATAGGAAGTTAGTTCACTACAGAAAAGCTCTCTAATTTGGCTCTGATATATGTGTGTGAAGTGTAAATGTCGGGCATGGATTTCATCTCCCCTTCACCAAGGACTCAGCCTATCAGGTAAACCCATGCAATGCTGTTCTAGACACATATAAATAGGTCCTTTGGGGGGGAAATAATGACAGTTTGGTCTCCTATTAAAGACTCAAGATATTATTCCTCAGGATGATAGACCAAGACTTTTAAGCTGGTCACGAGTGTCATGTGGGGCTCTAGATTGCACCATTGGGATGGTGTCTTATTTCACATGTAACATTAAGCCATGATTTGTCATTAAAAGAAAGTGATTTCCTCACCGTCAGGCATATGTGTTTCCTTCTGTTTCCCCCCACATTTGCAAAAGAGAGAGAGAGAGAGAGAGATTGTCATTTAAAAAAAGTGATTTCCTCCCCTCAGGCATATGAGTTTCCTTCTGTTTCCCTCCACATTTGCAAGAGAGAAAGAGATCCAAAGCTGAGAAATATCTGAACCTACTGATTTTGGTGGCAGGTTTAAACAATGTCTTATGTCATTTGTTTTAGTGCGTTGTCTTCAACTGCTCTGACGGTCTCGATTACAAAGCCATGGGCAAATTCTTTAAAGGCCTGGCGCAGGCTGGAGCTTGGGCCTGCTTTGATGAGTTCAACAGAATTGAGGTAATTTTATTTAATTCAGTGGCCAAGGTAATAAAAATTAATGTGCAAAAGATATCGTTTGCAAGTGACACAGGAAAATATATTGCTGTCGTACTGCAATCCCATATGTATCTGCTCAGAAGTGAGTTTCACTGAGTTCAGTAGGATTTTGTCCCAAGTAAAGTATATATGTATAAGGATCAATAGAGTTGTAGCCCAGCCTGTTAAATCACTTTGTTTTTAACAAGATATAAGGAGAAGAGCCAACCTGAGTGGCCTTGAACAATCTTGTACTGCAGTTACTGGAAGCCATGCTGTGCTGGCCAGGATTTCTGGGAGTTGTGGTCTACGAACATCTGGGACCCAAAGTTTGAGAACCACTGATCTAGCTTACATATAATCACACCAATCACACCATCGGTACCTTGTTCCTGCTGAGCTGTGTTGCTATACATATGTGTGCAAACATACACATCTTTCTTTTACTTTGCCTGAAAAATCTGTTGGAGTCAATATGTGGTCTCTTATGGTAGGACAGGGAAAAAATATGCAGTGGTGCCCCACTTGACGATTACCTTGTTAGACGAGGAAATCGCTGTATGACTAGTTTTTTGTGATCACTATTATGATCGCAAACCAATGATTGAATGGGTTTTTTTTGCTTCCTGACGATCAAAACAGCTGATTGTCGGGTTTTCAAAATGGCCACCCGTTGTGTAAAATGGCTCCCTGCTGTGCTTTAGGATGGATTCTTCGCAAGACAGGGAGCAGAAAATGGCCACCCTATGGAGGATCTTCGCTGGACGCTGAGGTATTTCGCCCATTGGAATGCATTAACCAGGTTTTAATGCATTTCAATGGGCTTTTTTATTTCACTTGACGAGGATTTCATTCTACAGCGATTTCGCTGGAACAGATTATCCTCGTCAAGCGAGGCACCACTGTATGTCAGAAATTCCAGAAATCTGTTGCTCTCGTCACTGATGATACTGAGCTAGCTGTAGCAGTTGTCTGAATTGTTTCAAGACAGTTCCCTACATTCTTAAAATATCTTGTTGCCATTGATTCATCACACTATTTATATTAGTTTCAGCTGCTTCCCTTCAAAATATCTGAAGCTTTATTTTATTGGTTTTTGTTAGGTTGAAGTGCTGTCTGTAGTGGCACAACAGATACTCAGTATTCAGCAAGCTATTATTCGAAAGCTCAGAACATTTATCTTTGAAGGCACAGAGATTTCCCTTAATCCCACCTGTGCAGTATTCATCACCATGAATCCTGGGTACGCTGGACGGGCAGAACTTCCAGATAATCTGAAGGTAAATTATATATTCTTTTGACATTTCTGATAATCCACAGGCTTCTGGAAATGGCTTGAAAGAACTGGAACAAAATTAACAGAAATGGACATCTGGATGTAGGTATTAGTTTTGAAGGAATGTATCTGATAATAAATGTTAGATTTCAGCACATGGGACAGCTCCCACCACCTATGTTGCTCTACATATTCAAAGCTACCCCATATACTCTCACCTGGCACCTTCTTTGTGGGCTTCTCTATGCCAAATGAGACCAAAACACTGGTAGCATAAAAAGAGAGAGAGAGATCATTACAACTTTTCATATGTCTTGTTCCTTATTATGAACAATTTCAATTTTTTTAAAATTAATGTTTTCACCCAACTATATTTTAAAGGTCTTTGAGAAATGGATCAATTATCCTTTTCTAAATATTTGGTTTTAAAAGGTTCTTTGAGCAGTTGCTGAGCCTTTGACCCCATCCATAGTCTCAAAGGCTTGGCCTTGTTCTAAGGAGAACTCAAGAGTCTGATAAACCTTCTCCAGTTTTAAGGACATCATTCATTCTTCAGCCTTTTAGGATTAGGGTTAGTCCTCCAAATTATCTGTTCTTCAGCAGTGCAGAAGCATGAGGTGACAGAACTCACTATGGGCTGTTTAAGAACTATGTCTAGTAGAGACAAAGTGGGGTTCAGACATCGCTTCTGTTTTTCTGAGGAAATGTAGGAATGCACTGTCCAGGATCTTGACCGTTCTTTGCATTATTTTCATCTTGCTTTACTTGACATGACCGGTTGTTTCCTGATGCGGTACAGAAGCAACTGTAAGCACTCTTACTTTAGGACACTTGTCATGGGCTCCCAGCCTAATGGGGGCATCCATTATGAAACAAAGCAGAATTCTTAACTCCTCTAAATTCATAGACTTAAAGGAATATCACAATGAAATCCATGACAAAATAACCCAAGTTATCCTTTTCCTCAATCTGCATTTCTTTAGGCTCTATTCCGTACAGTAGCCATGATGGTGCCAGATTATGCTTTGATTGGTGAAATATCACTTTATTCAATGGGATTCCTTGACTCCAGAAGGTAAGTCAATTTTTCTTTACTTTTATAAAAACTTCATTTCACGGAACTCCCTCGCAGGAAATACATGTGAAGAAACAACACTCTCCTGTTGGATTCTTGCCATTTTTTTATTTCATATATTTTAATTTCCACATTATGATGCACATGCTTTCAGGCACCGCACTGTAAATGTTCAGTGTAACTAAAGAAGGATTTGATTCTAAAACTTTTCTAGTGGTTTAGCCATTGCACCCTACTGCTACAATTTTCCTGGATGAAAGTTCATAGTTTAAGCACATTCTCTGAGACATTCTTCAAAACAGTTCATTTTCTATATACATTTGTTCCAGTTTGTTGCACCTCATAGCAGCCACATTTTTTCAGAAAGATTCTCACAAGATGTTCCAGTGCCATATTGCCAAATCGGAATACATGAGAATTTAGTTTGTTTTTGCTGGTAGAGGGCAATGTTTCATCATTCTTAAGTAAATGAAATGTTAAGAACTTCATATTCTTTTTAAATAGAAAAGGCCATTTTATGTGATGAAGACCATAGTCCATATTAGCAATATCACCTCCTAAATAAAAATATGTAATTAAGATTTTTACATGCTTTACATGTTTTGTGCTATTACTGACTTGATTATATGTATTTAAAAGCCACCTGTATTTGAGATACGTTACTCTCTTTTTAAAACTGTTGTTTCTTGCTTGTTAAGTTTTAACATATTATTTTGTTTCATAGTCTTGCCCAGAAAATTGTTGCCACCTACCGTCTTTGCTCTGAACAGTTATCATCACAACATCATTATGACTATGGAATGCGGGCAGTAAAATCAGTCCTAACAGCTGCAGGAAACCTAAAGCTAAAGTACCCAAATGAAAATGAAAGTGTATTGCTGCTCAGGGCTCTGCTTGACGTTAATTTAGCAAAATTTCTGGCACAAGATGTCCCTCTGTTTCAGGTAAGATAACAGAGTAATTTAGATTCTGATAACACTAGCAGTTTATGTATTAATGCAGGCGGAAAAATATGGATGAGGTTGTCAAAAGTCAACTGAGAAGAAAGAGCTTTTGTGTTTATTCATAACAGCTGGAAGCAAAGTTGTGTACAACTTTGCTTCTAGAAGCCCCGTTTTTAAATAACACTCTTTGCCCTCCCTCTTCATTTTGCAGGGTATCATATCAGATTTATTTCCTGGAGTGGTCCTTCCTAAACCTGATTATGAGCTCTTCATCCATGCACTCAATGAAAATATCAAAAAAATGAATCTTCAGCCAGTTCCATGGTTTATTGGAAAAATTATACAGGTACCCTTGTTTTTTCTGCATATAGGACCAGGTGCAAAATAGAACCTTTCATTCTTATGGATTGCAGTGTGAAACTGCAAAATGTTGCAGTATAGTCTCATCCTCTAATCCTGTTCAGTAGATACCCAGTGTGATGTAGTAGATAGAGAGACAGACCAGGATTCACGTGACCTGGGTTCAAATCCCTGTTCAGCCATGGAAATTCACTGGGGGAGCGGCTCTGGTAAAATCACTCCTTATTTATTTATTTATTCTTATGGATTGCAGTGTGAAACTGCAAAATGTTGCAGTATAGTCTCATCCTCTAATCCTGTTCAGTAGATACCCAGTGTGATGTAGTAGATAGAGAGACAGACCAGGATTCACGTGACCTGGGTTCAAATCCCTGTTCAGCCATGGAAATTCACTGGGGGAGCGGCTCTGGTAAAATCACTCCTTATTTATTTATTTATTTANCCTTGAAAGTCCTATTAAGGGTCGCTATTAGTTGGTTTTGACTTTACACCACAGAACAACAACAAAAATCCTGTTCAAGGACCTGGGGTTCAGATAAATCAATTCACTCTTTCCTCCCCCTGCGTGATTTCCCATTATTCTTTCCCAACTGATACTCAATAACCTGTGATTCGGGGTGGTCATAGAGTACTTCAAGTCATCATTGGACCATTTTGGGGTGGAGACAGCTATGGTTTCATCTGAATCCAGTTTTAGTCTCCACTTGAGTTGATTAATTGAAATGAATAAAACTAATATATGTCTCATAATATATATGATTTAAATATGTTTACTTTAGTTAGGCTAAAATTGGATTTGGTTCTTTGTGTGTGTTTCATTGTTGTTTAAATAGAATTGTTGTAGTCTGCAAACCTTGGGATTTCCTAAGCACCTTGAATTCCCCCACTTTTTTCAGGTTCTTCATTCTAGTTCCATTTCTTTTAGTAAAGTGATAATAAGTACTTTGAGAGACAGTGATGTGTGTTTGACACTGGTCCAAAAGAAGTTAGCATCTTGAAATATGTAGCATCACAGAGCATAAAAATATACTGTATTGAGAGATAGGAAATACAGAGAGGAAGTCCTCTCTGTTCTCACTTTGCTCTAGGACAGAAAACATTATGTTTATATTTAGTGGCTCATAGTACATTGCAGTGTTCGTTAAATACACTCACTTCTTTGCCCTTTTGCTCTTATGAGAAATTTTAATTCATGTTGAAATGTAGTGATGCATTGTTTTTATTAAAGTGCTCGTGTTGTTGGTGCAGATTTATGAAATGATGATGGTACGTCATGGCTATATGATCGTTGGGGATCCGATGGGAGGCAAAACCAGTGCCTACAAAGTCCTAGCAGCAGCACTTGGGGATTTGAGCCAAGGTATAGATCGGATTAATTCTGCCTCATGCTTCCTTAATTACAAAGCGTGCCAGCTTCTTTTTTCCTATCATCTAGCAAAAGAAAGCTTCAGTCATAGGAGGGCTTTTTAATTGTGTGCTATTGGTCTTGACTCAGATCTTTTTGCTTGCCTATGTTTCCTGCTTCCAACACATGAAAGTCAAGAACTGACTATTCACTTACTGCCCACTATATCCCACCCTTGACGGGTGACATTGTAATGCAGGGGTGGGCAATTAATTTCTATGGGGGGGCACATGAAAAATCTGAACTGTGTTCAGGGGCCGAACCAACTTTACTTAAAAATAAAATGAAACAGTGATGTTATAATTGTTTTTATTTTAAACTTGTTAATCTTCACAAATGCTAAAGAGGTTTTTTTGCAGTATGTTAAAGATAAGCAACTGATCAACTTCAGACAAAAAGCTATAAATGGTTTTGATGTTCCAAACTGTCCGCGGGCTGGACAGGAGCAGCTCACGGGCCACATGTAGCCCTTAGGCTGCACTTTGCCCAGGTCTGTTGTAATGATATAATCAATGCTATTCACCTACCAGTGGGTTTAATGTTGTGGTTGATCAGTGTAGCTCAGATGAATGAGTAATGCAAGGTGCTACAACATTGGTGTAATGTCAGAACAGGAATGGGAAGAAGGAGGTTCAAAATTTTCAGCTGAGTATGAAGCTCATTGGGGCCAGTCACCATCTCACAATTTAACACATGTCTGAGAGTTGTTATGAGCATTACAAAAATAAAGTCAGATTCATTCATTCATTCATTCATTCATTCATTCATTCATTCATTCATTCATTCATTCATTCATATTATTTATATGCAGCCTTTCTCCCCATAGGAGATGCAAAGATGCTCACAACAATTAAGGTATGTGAGATATTCAAGAAATGGCAACGGCAAACCACGACTTAAACAAATGTGACTTCTCCATTTTGGCTTTTTAAAAAAAATTAAATTATTTTGTAAAATAAATCATGACTCGGTGTAATATGCCTTGTGTTGTTGTTCATCTATGGTTGTATTTATCTAATTTTCAGACCTGCTAAAGACCAGATGATTTTTATTATGCCCTGATATGTAAAACCATCAATTTCAAAGAGCGTCTACTTTCCTTTCACATGACTATATAAGAGTCTGCGCCAGTCTGCAAAAACCAAAAAAACCCAAAACTGTACATACTGGAGAATTGTTCCTAACCCCAACTGTGGAAGGTTCAAAACACTGATCTTTCAAATCAGCATACAGAGGACTTTCCATTAGAAAATGTGTCATGTCCTCCATCTTGGAACACCTTGTTGGAACACCTCCATCTTGGAACACCTTATCTCCTTATCTCCTCATACCATGTTGGACCGCATACTGTTTCTAAACCTCTTTCGGTTGCAGGGTATTCAGTCTGCATTGGGTCAGAAGCCATCTCTGCTTGTGTGAGCTAATCAAAGACTAATCTGGGAGGGAGCATGGGGGGGATAGGGAGAAACTTTCCCAAAAGGGCAGAAAATTCTTTTCACATCTTGTTGGTCATCAAAGCTGGGCAAATCAGGCTATTAATTTCAGTTTGGGTTTTTTAAAAAGTGGAAGAAAATAAGAAGAAAACAATGGAAGATAAAAACATATGATTTGTGTGCAACATTTAATTTGACTGTGAAAAATAGTTTCCAAATACCAAGGCTTTAAATAGCAGTATATGCTGGTGATTTTGCTTTCGAACTCATCAGAGATTCTATCTCCTTTTTTTTAGACAGTTCATCGGATGAATCTGCCGTTGAATACAGAATTATTAACCCAAAAGCTATCACCATGGGGCAGCTGTATGGATGTTTTGACCCCGTGAGCCATGAGTGGACAGACGGAGTCCTTGCAAACACCTTCAGAGAACAGGCTTGTTCAACAACAGAAGACAGGAAGTGGATTATCTTTGATGGTCCAGTAGATGCTGTTTGGATTGAGAATATGAACACAGTATTAGATGATAACAAGAAGGTAATTTTTCTGCACTGCTCACATTAAAATGTAACAGTCTTTAATGTGCAACAATGTTTTTACTTTAAAAGAATTATTTTGTTTTTCTTGTAAAACTACAGCTTTTGTGTGTACACTTTATGTTTACAAAGAAAATTGATTAGGAATTGTACTGCAAAAGAATTGCAATTTTTTAAAATTATAGTTCATTTCATCAATATACATTATTTGATGGCAGGCCATTGCCCATCGGTAATGATTAAATATTATTAAAAAATTTAATAATGATTATCTTATGAAATTTCTATTTATAAGAATTAATAATAAGCAATATATATAATTTGCACATAGTAATTTACATTGTGTAGTTCTGTTACCAGTTTTTGTCTGATCTGTTGATCATAATAAAGGAATTAAAGTTCAACTTATTTTTAAATTATAGATATTAATTATCCTTTTAGTTTATTTCTGATGGATATAATAAGTACAGTGAAGTTGACAGTGATTTTATGGGATTTTGTTGGACATAATAGTTCCTATACCTGTACAACTAACTGGTTAACGTTAACATAACATAAACTTAAATTGTATAAACTTGACCCATCAGTTAGATGTGTTAGCCAATTTCCAATTGAATTAAATAATCTTAGATCTTAACTCTGGAACCTGAACTCAAACACTCAACCATGGCCATTATTATTTTCTTTTAATATTTTATTCCAAACCTGAGAAGCAAAACTTTAAAAAAAATATTCTCTTAATGTACAAATTTATCTTGCAAATAAATATTGCTTCAGCGGTAGAAAACATGAGAGCCAGTGTGGTAATAGCAGATAGAGTGTTGTATTATAACTGGAACCCTATCCTATCTTACAAACATCGGGAGGAGGATTGTGTATGCTGCTTTGAGTTCCTTGTAGTGCTGGATGAACATGAATTCAATGAACAAACAAATACTTACATACTTATTGTTAAGCTTGAATATGTGACCCTCCTCTTTCCTACCCTATATCCTCAAAGTCATTCCTAGGATGTAGACTGATCTAAGAATGAATGAGAGAAAGAGAGAGAGAGAGAGAGAGGATGAACATGAATTTAATGAACATTAAATTCATGTTCCTGGACGAACATGAATTTAATGAACAAACAAATAAATAATAAAAAAGGAATACATTATTAAGCTTGAATATGTGACCCTCCTCTTTTCTACCCTATATCCTCAAAGTCATCCCTAGGATGTAAACTGATCTAAGAATGAATGAAAGAGAGAGAGAGAGAGAGACTGTTCCAGAATCACCCAGTGAGTTTTATGGCTGAGCTGGAACATGATAGCATAGGTGAGAATTAGTGGAACTATCCCTTGCTGTTGACTGTTCCAGAGTCACCCAGTGAGTTTCATGGCTGAGCTGGAACATGATAGCATAGCTGAGAATTAGTGGAACTATCCCTTGCTGTTTTGGTGGCAATTTTCACCTCCAAGATAATTTTCTCCATTTACAGTTGAATGGAAAGTTAAGTGACATACACTGAGAGTACGTAAAAAGCAAAATAACCGGCAATTCTGTCATACGGGTTGCAGAGTCACCCAGTGAGTTTCATGGCTGAGCTGGAACATGATAGCATAGCTGAGAATTAGTGGAACTATCCCTTGCTGTTTTGGTGGCAATTTTCACCTCCAAGATAATTTTCTCCATTTACAGTTGAATGGAAAGTTAAGTGACATACACTGAGAGTACGTAAAAAGCAAAATAACCGGCAATTCTGTCATACGGGTTGCATTATCTTTTTGTTCTAGCTGTGCTTAATGAGTGGCGAAATCATTCAGATGAGTGCAAAAATGAGTTTAATATTTGAGCCAGAAGATTTGGAACAAGCATCTCCAGCTACCGTCAGCAGGTAATTCTTGCCAACAAAGCTGAGTGGATTATATAGGTGCAGGGCTTGATCCTTCCACAAGGCAGGATCAGCCCTGCACCTCTTGTACATAGCATGCTAGAGGACTGATCCCCTAAACATCTGCAGTGTTGCTCACTATCCTGTCACTAGCGTTGTCATAAGACACAGCTGCACATCGTATCGAAGGGGACGATATCTTCTAAGGGCCAAACTGGATATTAAAAGCAATGCCTTATTTAAATCCCACTTCCTCCCTTACGGGACCCAAGGTAGTTTCCTCTGATTAATTGGTTTCCCCTCCTATAGTAGACTTTTCTCAGCGAGACGTGCCTCAGCAATTATACTGCCAAAGACAGACCTAGTTATCAGTTATGAAAGAAAGCACCCCAAGTTCAGGATACATAGGTGAAGAAAAAAGTATGTCACAAAGAGACCTTTTTCATCACATAAAGGTGCATGTCTTCTAATTATATGCTGAGTGTATTGTTCTGCCAAAGACAGACCCTATTTACTTCCCAGTTATCAGTTATGAAAGAAAGCACCCTTAGTTCAGGATATATAGGTGAAGAAAAGAGTATGTCACAAAGAGACCTTTTTCATCACATAAAGGTGCATGTCTTCTAATTATGTGCTGAGTGTATTGTTAGTTCTGATTTGACTCTGCTTCATGCAGTAAAGTATGTCATGCCAGACCTCAGTGCATGCACGCACGCACACGCACATACACACACATTAGAGATAGGGAAGCAAAGAGAAGGAGAGGGGGTTAGATGGGTAAGGAGTGCATGGCAAATTGCTTCATGCAGTAAAGTATGTCACGCCAGACCTCAGTGCATGCACGCATGCACACACACAAACATTAGAGATAGGGAAGCAAAGAGAAAGAGAGGGGGTTAGATGGGTAAGGAGTGCATGGCAAAAGAATTAAATGTTGTGATGAGAATGGGCATCCCCTTTAGCTTCTTTTACATCAGTTAAGTAGGATTTGTGCAACTAAACTCTCAGTTCCTTCTAGGTGTGGCATGATTTACATGGAACCTCATCAGTTGGGATGGAAACCTCTCAAAGATTCCTATATGAACACTTTGCCCTCGGCCTTGCAAGATGTACACAGAGAACTGGTATGTGTGAGCGTTTGATTTCTAAGTTATTATATGTTAAGGAAGGAAATGGTGGTGGTGGTGTGTGGGGATCAAATGAATATCAAAATATGGAATATTTTAGTATCCAGTAACAGAAGAACTGGGACTTTCCTTCCCCGCCTCCTCCAGCTGCCCTGGGCAACTCAGGGCTTCCCAGTCTTTTGGAACAGGGTCCAAAGTGCAGAAGGAGGACGGGAAGACTATAACATTTAACAACACATGCATATTTACAAATTATAGCAAGGCAAATAAAAAAAGGATGTAAATAGAACTGGGACTTCCCCTCCTCCTCCAGCTGCCCTGGGCACCTCAGGGTCCAAAGTGCAGAAGGAGGGCGGGAAGACTATAACATTTAACAACACATGCATTTTTACAAATTATAGCAAGGCAAATAAAAAAAGGATGTAAATTAAAAATTATTCAAACAAACCTTGAAACATATGTGCATCAGGCATTATTATGTTAGATCCATTAAATTCAGTAAATGGCAAAAAAAAAAAAAACAAAAACCACAAAAAACCTGTCCCCAAAGCTGTTGTATTTTGTCTATTTTCTTTAATCTTTGCATATGAAATCAGTTTAGTTATTGCTCCAATATCTCATGTTTTTGATGCCCATTCCTTTTAACTATGGAATTTTAGGCATCTTCCCCTATTTTTCATACACAAATCTAGCAGCTTTAGTCCCTCTAAGCTGTTAGTTCATGATGTTCTTTACACAGCCTTTCCTATGAGTAAAAAAAAAAGAGTGGATGTCTGTATTCAAAGGGACGTGGTGGCACTGGGGGCTAAACCGCAGAAGCCTGTGCTGCAGGGTCAGAAGACCAAGCAGTTGTAAGATCGAATCCACGTGACGGAGTGAGCGCCCGTCGCTTGTCCCAACTCCCGCCAACCTAGCGGTTCGAAAGTATGAAAATGCAAATAGATAAATAGGGACCGCCTCGGTGGGAAGGTAACAGCGTTCCGTGTCTAAGTCGCACTGGCCATGTGACCATGGAAGATTGTCTTCAGACAAACGCTGGCTCTCTATGGCTTGGAAACGGGGATGAGCACCGGCCCCTAGAGTTGAACACGACTGGACAAAAATTGTCAAGGGAAACCTTGACAATTTTCTGTATTCACAGAAAAGGAGTTTAGGCAATTTTTGCAATTCTTTCTCCTTCTCTGAGTACCCCTATGTTATTTTGAAGGAAGGCAGATTTACAAATGACTGGAAAGGCAAAGAGGAATCTCCGAAAATCAACAGTCTACTGCTTTAGTTAGCAGAGGTGTCAGCTGGATCGAAAACTCTTCCAGTTCTGGATCAAAAGCTGTATGGAAGGATACAGTGGGATTCAGCCTAGTATTTCCATCTTACATTATAAACACAGCTATACCTGGAATGTTGAAAAAGCAGGTGTAGCAGCAAACTAAAAATAAAGCTAATAGTAGACCATGCATTAAAAGGAAAGACCAGAAGGAAAGGTTCTTTTAAATCTGGCTTAAAGAGCAGCCAGAAGAGCAAGCTTGGCAAATGTTCACCAGTAAGGAAACCTAGCATCAACACCAACCCCATCCCTGCCTCTACTATTCAGATCTTTGGGATCTTTGGGGTCAATAATCAACTTATACTCCATAGCTAACCATGGCTGTTGTTGTTTCAAAGAAACAAATCTCCCCAATGTGACTTTCAGATTCATATGCGTCATGATAACCTATTAGAACTGGTTGTTGGCTGACTATTTCTGATCAATCGGCAGTATAGTAACTTCTGCTGAGTTTGAAAACCACTTAAATTTTTTGACTTGCAGATAGATGATTTGTTTATGTGGCTGATTCATCCTTGTTTGGAATTTATTCGCCATCAGTGCAAAGTGATACTTCAGACTTCTCCCATCCATCTCACCCATACCATGATGACACTGTTTGATGCTTTGCTTGGTAAGGATCCTGTGGACTTCATCTCCTTCTACCTCCTGCCTCAACTCAGAATGTAGAAAGCTTCTTTTAAAAATAATTATTTACAATTATATTTACAGGTCTCCTAAAAGTGGTCACTTTGCATTATAGCTACACATTTAAAAGTCATGCTTCAGTTTCCTCTTTCATGAAAGGATCTAAGTAGCTTTTAGTTTTCTTTTTTAGAAATTGCAATACTTCAAACACTAGACTTGTTGTAAAACATACTTTCTTCTTCACCTTGTGTCATTTAACAATCCACAACGGTGAAATATTTCTCCTCTACAGTTTCCTAAGGCCAAAACTTATAAATATAGTTAGTAACTATTAGAGTGTAACTTTAGGAATTACAAGCAATTAATTTGGAGCACAAGGCAGCAGCGTAAGGCACAACATGAAATATTTCTCCATCACAGTTTCCTAAGGCCAAAACTTGTAAATATAGTTAGTAACTATTAGAATGTAACTTTAGGAATTACAAGCAATTAATTGTTTGTTACTTTTTGCTTCCAACCTCTGTGACGTTTCATTAAACTGTAGAACCATATTCCTATTCTGTATTTTTGCAAACATGCTATTCCTGAAAAAAAAATCTGTCATTGAATCAACCAATGGTTAATGGTTGTTTCTGTTTTAAGCATAAGCAAAGACAAAGCATTTGTAAATGGGTATCTGTTTCCCAGAAGTCCTGAGTGAAATTTTGGTGCTGTTCTTGCGTGCTTCGAAAAATTAAAAATAATAATTTATTTGATTCTGGAAGGAAAACATGCCAAGTTTCTGATTTTGAGATACTGACTTTATTTTAAATAGGATTGCATGGTGTAACTGATTAATCCATTACTGTACATTTAAGAGTGCAATTTCTCCTCAGTTTACTCAGAAATGAATCTCACTGGCCAGAGTCCCATTTGCCCAACAGGATTCTGGCCACTGAATTTTGTGAAATCTGCTCCCAGATTAAACAAGCAGGAAGTTTTGACTTAAACATTTTATTTTAATTGGGTAAGATTCCTGTGGTTCTTAATTCTGAGTAGATGTAGTGATCTTCCTGATGAAGTATTTGTTCTACTTAAGATATCAGTTCCACACTGATGTTATTGGTATTTTTCCTCATTGTTCACACAAAAGTTTCAATTTATCCAGTGACTTTTCTTGGAACATCCCACAATATTTCATCCCCCAAGAAGTAGTGATTGTTTTCAGTCTTGCATTGTTCTGGGGAGTTAGAGTTTAGCATTTGGCAGTTTTCATTGAAGGTTTTACCTTCTATAAGAACTTTCTGCTTGGAAGCATTCAATTAGCACCCATAATTAGAAGCTCCCCCTCCCTTCTTCCCAGCAACAAGCATAGCAGAGGAGCCCCAGCAGGGAAGTGAATTTTTAAACATTTCTTAGAACAGGTCTCAGAGATAGCATCTTTCCTTTTTTTAGAAGCATCTTTCTGAAAAAAGTGTTGGTTTCCTTGGATGCAAAATCAGGTAACCTGTACACTGCTTTGGTACCAAGTGACAAAAGGAGTGGTAGTGAAATGATCCAGCTGGAAGAGGCCATGTATAGGATTGTACTTAAACTGAGTAAACAATTAATTTGATACCTTTATGGCTGATTGAAGAGATGCCTCCAATTAATCTGGCTATCGGTTTATATTTTTAAACGTGCAATTATTAAATACAAATACAGAAGATTGCAGTTGCCTAAATGGAAAGAAAAACATTCTATCTTTATAAGCAACATCCCCCCCCCAAAAAACCCACTTTCTTATGGAGTTGCTTCTGTTCTGCAGTCATTTGCTCACCTTTTTATAAGGAGCAAGACAGTGTTGTTGTCTAGAAATGTCAATACTACGGTCTCTAGTATAAAGATGATATGTGCTACTGAGCAACTTAGGATCCAAATGTGGCAGCAAATTGAGCACATTCTCGTTCATTCTAGAAGTACTTCTGTTTCAAGTATGAGAATCAGATGTTGCTGGACTACCCCAAGTTCCACCCTCCCTAACTATTTCCCATTTTGTATGGGAATGGTGGAAACTACAGTCCAGCAATGTCAAGAGTCACAGGTTCATCCTGGCCCTTCCTGAACAGGAATTCATAGAATGATAGAATAATGGAGCTGGAAGGGGCCTACAAGGCTATCAAGCCCAACCCCTTGCTCAGTGCAGGAATCCAAATCAGAGCAGGTCTGACAAACGGTGGTCCAGTTTTCTCTTGCATGCTTCCACCGTTGGAGTGCTCACCACCTCTCAGGAGAACAGAAATGCAGGACAGAGCAAACTAGAGAAAGGAATGCAAGAGGAGGAAACCTTCTGATCAGTACAGTAGTCAGGTTGTTGATGGTTATTCTTTTTCTCTAGGAACAGTGTTCCTCTTTTGCTTTATAGATGCTTGTTTCTTTGCTTCTTTGTTTAAGATGAAATAAAGCATTCTGATGAAGAAGAAGGAGAAACCATGTCCAGTCAGCAGATTACCTTGTGGCTGCAAGGACTGTTCCTCTTTGCCGTAGTCTGGACCATCGGCAGCACCATCAACGCTGAGGGCAGAAAAAAATTTGACCACTTTTACCGAAATCTGTTGATGGGAATGGATGATGACCACCCACGTCCCAAAAGTGTGAAGCTAACAAAAAACAATATATTTCCAGAAAGAGGTACACATTTATGTGCATATATGTTTGTGCATTTCTTTAAAAATGGGTTTGCTAGATATATACTGAAAAAAACATTGGCCAAAATCCTGTTGGGATTATGTATATGAAAGAGGAGTCTCATGTGCTGCTGCCGCTAATTGTAGCTAATTGACAAGGTGCCAGGTTTGTTGAGCACACAGTTGGGAACATGACTGGGTGCGTGACCAGTATGTGTCTGGCACCTCTTGTGTGTGTATAAAAAGTAGGAGTATAGTCCACTTTATAAATATATGTTTGGATGCAAAGGCGGCCTTTTAAAGTGAAAAGGTACCTCTGAATCAAGCTTGTACAAAAGTATGAAACATAATTTCTTGTAGGTGTAATCTTGTTTATCCCTACCTGGGAGTCTCATTAAGAAGAATCAAAAGTCCAAGGCACATATGATTATGCTGTAAATAGGTTTTCAAACTAGTTTCCCAGAAGTTATATTGATTTATAACAGCTATTTCATCACTTTGTTCAATAAGAGATATAATTGTAATGGCTCCTAAATGTCTTTCAACTATACACAAAATAAAATTGTGTACAGTTTGCACTGTCTAATCACTTTAGGGTGATAGTTAATTGCCTATTGCTTGATTGGGTTGGTAGTTAGATTTGCCATCTTGAAATTTACTAATGATTGTTAGACACGGTTTTTTATAGTGGGTTCTTGCTTTTTGCATCTTTATTATTTTAATTTTTAATGTACATTTGTATTCACTTTTGTAGCCACCCAGAGTAGTGGCTTGCTACTAGATGAATGGCGTATATGTTCAATCAATCAATCAATCTCAACTGTGTTTTGGCTGCCATATTGTTAGGATGGGTGTTGTGTAGCAGGGACCTAACAAAAAAGGAACCTCATTGTATTAATGAAAGAGCCTCATTCTCAAAATGTCTATTGTAGCCAAAATACCACCATTTACAGACAAGACTCTGTATGCTGATAAATACCACCATTTATCAGCAAACATGGGGAAACACAAGATTTTCTGATGATGATGATAGTGAAAGCGGTGCATGGGTCCCTAGTCTGACTTTGAGGCAAATTCAAGACTTTGGAAGTTGTCCCAATTCAGTTTGGATAGATTAGTTTGATTTTTTAAAAAGGTAAACAGTTCAAGCATTTTGTGACCCATATGATTGGGTCACAAAATCTGCACTCTGTATGCAAATTAATTTGCAAATGTATGTCACTTTGCCCTGGAATGGAGTTTGTCCATTCCACCAATTGATCCGGATCTCCTATGAACTGATCACTATCAGTCAGATTCAGTCTGAAGTTTAAGGTACAACCATAACAACAGCAATACTTGTAGAAAAATCTCTGCAGGACGGATGTATCCTGAAGTAGACCAGTGAGTCCTCGGTATGATTGTTGTGGATTGAAATTCTGTCTATTGTTGAGAGTTGGTTGGGCAGGAAGTGAGAACAGAACAGAGGGGGAGTAAAGAGGAGCATGGCACGCTGCATATTTCGCTATTGTGTGGAGCCGAACCTAGTTCGGGAACCTTTTTCAGCCTGAGGGCCAAATTCAGTTTCGGTGAAGCACTTGGGAATTAACATTCTAGTAGTGGGCAAGGCCAAAGGCAAAACTGCAGAACCAAAATACCAACATATTCTTACTGCCAGTAACTGTGCCCAAGAGGATTTTCAGTGTTTTAGAGGGAGGAAAGCACGCACCATATTGGTCATCTGAGGAAGATCATAGACCTCAAATGGGGGACCAGGAGGTCTTGTAGGCTGAGGTCTTTATACAGAAGGATGTCTGGTGAGGCTATCATATTTTGGACATGTCTAAGCAAGATCAGAGACTCAGTGCAAAGTACTGTATAATAATATTAGGGAAAATGAAAGGTAGTTGAAAGGGAGGAAGAGTGGGCATGAGATAGATTGATTCAGTAAAGGAAGACACAGCGTTTCATTGCCACAGCAGGACTGTTAATGTCAAGACTTTCTGGAGGTCCTTAGTTCAGGAGGGCACCATACATTGAAAACAACATAATGTCACATAATAACCACCAACATTTGCACTATCTGAGTTTTGGACTTGTTGTTGTTGTTTAGTCGTTAAGTCGTGTCCGACTCTTCGTGACCCCGTGGACTAGAGCATGACATGCCCTCTTGTCCTTCACTGCCCCCCGGAGTTTGGACAAATTCATGTTGGTAGCTTCGCTGACACTGTCCAACTATCTCGTCCTCTATTGTCCCCTTCTCCTCTTGCCTTCACACTTTCTGGACTACAGTTCCTATAATCCCTTTCCACTGGCTGTGCTCTGGTGACAGGCGAGTATTTTGTACACCAAAGATTCCTAATGCTGATCTGAATCTTAGATAGGTCTTCCCCAAAGCTTGCCTCCAGATGTCAAGCTTTGTCAATTTTTGTGGCAAAACAAAAACATCTACTACCATCAAGATGAGAAACACACAGTGATTTATCTTGGGAGTAGAAACAGACTCAAATGGTACAATTTAAAAGGAAACACAAAGCCAGGTTTGTTGTTCTGCCAAAAATTTTTCTAATGACTCTTCACATCTCTTCCCTCCAGGAAGTGTGTACGACTTTTATTTTCACAAGCAAGCCAGTGGACAATGGAACATGTGGATGGAGTACATTACAAAGGAAGAGCAGACCATCACTCCTGGTACGAAGGTGAGACATTTGCACTGCATAAGGTGTAGGCTGCTGTTAACCAATTGAAGCATGTGGAATGTTGCAAGGATTCTTTCATCTTGCCCTTTTCTTTTTAATGGGAGGACTGTGGTTCAGTGATAGAGCACATGCTGTGCATGCAGAAAGTCCCCACGTTCAGGTCTTGCCATTTTCAGAGTGAGCATGGAGTCTGATACCCTGGAGAGCCATGGCAGTCAGAGAGCTGATAGTAGAACTGATAAACTAGTGAGAACGATTGTCTCATTCTGTTTAAACCTCTCTTCCTAATGATGAGAGTGCAAGAGACTTTTTGAGTTTGGGGAAGAGGGAACAATAGGACCTAATATTTAAAAGATAGACCATGACAGGGATGGGGAATCTTCCCATTTGGGCCCATACCTTCTTTTGTTGGCATCTCAGTTCAGTGACTAGGGATAAGACGTGATTTAAAGTAGGGCTTTTCAAGCTTCAGCTCTGCTGATGTTCGGGACTTTGTCTCCCATAACCTCTGACCGTTGACCATGCCACTTGGCATTTTGGGAGATGCCGTCTGAAACATCTGGAGGTCATTCATCTGAAACCTGGGAACTGAATCTTGGGAAAAACTATACTTGTGGTCCAAGTGCCTGGAATTGGACTCCGGTTTGCCACTTGGGGATGGCATGTGTTATGGAACAGTCTCATAGTGCAGGGGAATTCATTTTCTGTTCAAAATATTTCCTAGAAATGTGTAAGGTGTTGGAGGGTACAACTTTAAAAAAAAACCCTGTAGACCTCCTAAACAACCGAAGTATGAATAGATTATTCACACACAGCTTTGAAACATTACCTTTTTGGACTACAATTCCAAGAATTCCTCAGCCAACAAGGTTGTCAGTCATGCTGGCTGGTAGATTCTGGAGGCAGGAGTCCAGATTTTCTAAGCTCTGCATAGGCACCTCCACGCCACAGATAACAGCCCTGCTTTTGATAGCTTCAGATAATAGCATAAACTCCTTTCCTTTGGCACACATCTCTTAGATTAACCATCTCTGCTTGACAGGTCTCAGAACTGATTATCCCAACAATGGAAACCGCCAGGCAGACTTTCTTCCTCAAAACCTATGTGGATCATGAAATTCCAATGTTATTTGTGGGACCCACCGGTACAGGGAAGTCTGCAATTACCAACAGCTTCCTGATCCAGCTTCCAAAGGCAAAATACACCCCCAACTTTATCAATTTTTCTGCCAGAACCACAGCAAATCAAACTCAGGATATTATTATGTCAAAGCTGGACAGGAGAAGGAAGGGACTGTTTGGACCTTCAGTGGGGAAAAAGGCCATTGTGTTTGTGGGTAAGATGTTTGTTACTTAGCGTTTGTTACTTAGTGTTTGTGTATGAATCTTTGTCAACAGAGAACAGTCATACTGCATGTTACTGTTTGCAAATATAAATATCCCGAACCTAAACTTCTGCTCCAACTCTTTATCTTCAGGAGGTTTATCTTTCCATAAGAACCCCAAATCTGAAGAAGTTTGGGGAGAATCAAATGTTTGAGATCTACCCTATTGGAAACAACTTTCCTATGGCATACAGAGAGTCAGATTAAATTGTTAATAAACTTTGAGGTGCATTTCACCAGTTTAAAAAATAATATTTATTAGTTGTTTATAAGAAATGTGTTATATAATCATATGTAGCTAGTGTGGTGTTGTGGCTAACGTGCCCAACTAGAACTTGAACTCCTCTTATCCATGAACCGACTGGGTGACTTTGTGCTAGTCACAGACTCTTAGCTTGACCTACCTGACTGTTCTGAAGATAAAGTGGGGAGGTGTGCTTTGTATGCTGCCTTGAGCTTTAACTGCAGGAAAAGCAGGATATAAATTGGCTAAATAAATAACATATAAGTCCCATTCCATTATCCCTGGATTTTGGGAAGTGTCTTCTTGATTCCTTTAATTTCTGTTCATGGAAAGAAAGATGTGAGTCAATACTAGACTGACATGCTAAGAATTCTATAATTTAGGGCCTCGGGTTGTGAGAGGTCTCTAAATCATGCAACAATATCCTCACTCCAGATTTAGAGAAGAGGGATCATAATTAGGGGCCTGTTAGATTTTACATAGCTTGGGGCCTTAGCATGCCTTCGTTTGGCTTTGGTGGGTGTATTCTTTGTCTCGTAAAAACAAGCATGCCTTTTCTCCCCCAGATGATTTAAACATGCCAGCAAAGGAGGTGTACGGAGCTCAGCCACCTATAGAACTTCTTAGACAATGGATTGACCATGATCATTGGTATGACAAGAAAGACACTTCAAGGCTCGATATTGTAGATGTTCTGTTTGTTTCAGCAATGGGACCTCCGGGTGGTGGAAGAAATGATATTACAGGTAGGAGGTTTGCTTAAATGCAAAAGGATTCTTCACTTCCTTTACTAGAGGACTTAATTAGTACATGTCAACAAAATGGTAGCCTAAACAGGCCATGGAGGGCAGAAACAAACATGATGACAGCTTCAAATTTATAAGGCAATACAATTTTCCCCCTCTAAAGTTTCTTTTTTCAGCTCCTATGTCCAATAATCTTGTCAAATTATCTTGTCAATAATTTTTTTAGCTCCTCATAGCCAATGACTGATAAATCACACAGTGATTGGCTACCAACTCAAAACCATGCCAATTTGCATCTTGCAAAATTGCACAACCTTGTTATAGGAAAAACAAATCCCCTTTAACTTTTAAGGGAGCTCTGCTTCCAGTTACAAAGCTGCCACCCGATCTATTACTGTACTTACTGATCTGAGAAACAAAAGAGCAGAACTGGCATTCTCAGGGGCACCCAAGGGAAGTGAGACAAGTATTTTTAAAGTAATGCAAACAGCAAACTGCCCAGTGAACACCAGGAAATGTTGAGCAAACCCAAGTGGTTGAATGCCTCTCAGTTTGAAAATGAAGTCAATATAATAATTCTTACACTCTCAAATAACTTTTTAGGTATGCAGAAATATACAAATAAAAATAATGTAAACTCTCTAGAATGACCTGACAAACATCTGCAACCAGCAGCATTTCTCTGTTTCCACAACTGTGACCAGGGTTGGGAATGCACTCCAAATTTTGTTGCAGCTCCTGTATCTCTGTGCTGTATTTCTTCTGATCTTGGTTGGCTAGCTGAGGAGCAAAAGGACATACACGTAAATCATGTTCAATAATAACCAAGAGACTGAAAGATGATCTAGAATAGTGATTCCAAACTGTGGGCCCTGAGATTCTTGGACTACACCTCCCATAAATCTAGCCAGCACAGCTAGTGGGGAAGGCTTCTGGGAGTTTTAGTAACTTGCCACTGTCTTCCTTTGTGTCTTACAGGACGTTTCACACGGCACTTAAATATTGTCTCCATCAGTGCTTTTGATGATGACATTTTAACCAAGATTTTCTCTTCCATTCTTGACTGGCACTTCAGCAAAGGCTTTGAGGCTTCATTTTTAAGGCAAACAAGCCCTTTATTTATTTATTTATTTATTTATT